AACTGTGAATGGTCTTTGAATTTTCTAACAAGTCAACAAGGGAAGGAAATAAAACTCCCAGCCAAGAAAAATGAAGGGGGAAAGGGTTAGCTTTTCAGTTTTAAGTTGACAACCCTACCACAGGAGGAGTCGCCAGAACTCTTAAGAACTGAGTGACATGAGTGCATCGTTGGTACAACAGATGACATTTTTTAAAAGTATTTAGAAATCAACTACTAAGTGAGTAGAATATTTTAAAATGTTTTGAACTGTTTAAAAAGGATTATTTGTACCATAGATGCTTCATCTTTCACTTGTAAGTAGAATGGTGTTAGAAGAATGGATTTAAGGAAAAGAACTAGGAGACTGACGTAACCCAAGAAATTGAGGTGAGGAGGAACTGGACTGGCAAAGTATACTGGTAACAAGGGAAAATACAGTACTGAAAACACTACCGAGGAAAACCAGACAGCACTTGGAAGTAACTGAACAGGTGTGATTAGTCCAATTCTGATCTTCTTCTGTTTCCTAATAACTAAAATTGATTTATATTAAAAATTAAATTTAAAAAAATTAAACACAACACACTGAGGGGGAAACTTTTTGAAATCCTTATTGAAGATTAATACTACAGAGTTGGAGAACAAAGCGACTTCAACCGCTAAGTCCACTGAACACCATTTACCAATAGAATGAACAGATCAGTCTCTAAAACAGCCTTCTCATCTATGAAATCCTCCCACCTACATCACAGGATTGTTGCCAATGAAATAACATGCATGAAAGTGCCTAATACAGTGCCTCAAAAACTGGATCTCAAAGGTATGGATTGTCAGTTCTCCAAAATGTAGATTTGCTTAAATGTGACTGTGTAAACGTGACTTTTCTCTGCCTCTCCCAGCTATACCTCTCCTCAGCAGGATACTCAAATTTACAAGTTGTCTGGGAAGCATAGAGTATTTTTGTGTAATAGGCAGTGTGCTTGGAATCACAAAAACCAAACCCACTATGAACTATATAAGACAGAAAAGTAGAGTGTGGCCCCCTGCCTGGTTACACGACCTACTCTCACTTCCCGTCAGGCCTTAATAAGCACTTCTGGTTGAGGGCTAAGGACTCAACTCTACTTTCCAGGTACACCTCACCCTCATGCAACCACTCACACCCCCGCCCCCCTCCAGTGTTGCTTCAAGAAAATACAACCGCAGGCCTTGCTTTCCTCAAACTCACATCAACTTCTGGGACCTACTCTTTCAATTTATCCTCTCGGCCTCTCCCTGCTCACATGGAATTAATTCATACTGTCTCTTATAATGAGTTCTTCACCCCTCCTCTTCTGCCTTGCCCCTTCCCTTAACAAGCAGCTATTTCAAGCCTTTTTAAAATTATTAATTGGCTTGCCCTCCTCCACCCCTTCTAGCCTATTATCTTGGTCCTTTTATTCTGCTCATCTACTATCCATGCAACGGTAATTAATTAAGTAAAATACAGAGATGAGCTTTGAATCCAAAGCTACATACACTGAGTTGCCGTAGGAACTTCTTCACAAGGACTGGTTTCCCCATCTCTTTCCACTGAGAGTAAATGACAGAAATGCCCTGCTTTCCACTAATTATGACAATTTTACCATGTATTCAACTTCTTATTCTAGCATGAAACTTCGCAATTCATATAATTAGGCCATTCTTATCTAATTTTCTACAATTTAGTGGCTATTCTACTTGGTCTTACCTACAGCAATTTACAATAAATTGTAGTATCAACAGTCAAAAATGTTAGCAGAATCTATGTGTCTGAATCTGACAAGACTAAATTTCTTGAGGACAGGAATCATGTCTTTATATATATATTTCTTAGCCAACATTCAATCAATTCAAACAAATTGTGAAACAAAAAAGTAAAGGAAGAGCATCACTGAACTAGAACTCCACAAATGTGGGCAGTGGATTTGTTCACAAGCTGTGTGACGTTAGGACAATCATGTTCCCTGGGCTTCGGGAACTTCTTCTGAAGACTGGTGGGGATCTGACAGTTGTAGGATTACTTCCACCTGACAATCCAACAAGCTCTATGAGTTGAAAAAGGGCTGTTCAGGGCCTCCCTGGTGGCGCAAGGGGTTAAGCACCACACTATGAAGCAATCCTGCAGCCACTGCAGCACGAGTTTGATCCCCGGCCGGCCAGGGAGCTACCCACATGGTGCAGCAGACCTCTCCTGACTCACCCACTGCTCCCCTCAGCAGTGTACTTAGGTCACTCTGCCTGTTCTGTTCCCCACTCTGTCACTCGTCTCGGTGAATCCTCTTACCGCCCCCCCCCATCTCTGGTCTGTACCCCAGCTCTTGTGTGCATAAATAAATAAATCTTTAAAAAAAAAAAAAAAAAAAAGAAAAAGAAAAAGGGCTGTTCCATATCCATCCTATCAAAATTGAAAAAGCTCAGACTCTTGGAGGCCAAGGCTTCTGTCTGACCACTAGCTGTCCCACATGCAGGCAGCATGCCAAAATAATGGCTGAGGTGCTCCCCTAAACCCTGCCATAAGTTGCTAGCCCAAAATTACTGGGTAATGATTTTATCTGTTAGACCACTCGATGAGAATATGCTCACCTATGGCTATATGCCCTTTAAGACAGCCTGTATCTTACTCATTTTTCAAATCCCTCACCATCCAGTACCTAGCAACATAATCAATACTTAACTTTGAGAGGTGGTATTGATAAAACAAAATGAGACAGGAGTCTGACACCAATCATCGCTCTACTACTATCAGCAGGCCAAGTCAAAGCCCTGCTTGACAGATATGGGGAATTATTTTGCAAGTTAATGATGTCAAAGTGTGTGGAACTTTATTTCACTGACAGAAGTGAATAAAGTTTGTATTTTATTTATTTTTTAACAGAAAAGAACTTTAATAGAATTAGTGTACAACAAAGAGAAGAAAGGATAATAGTTTTCTAATGAAACACCCAAAGTTACCTATCCCTTCCTGTGTAAATGCCCAGCCAAACACGGTTGGCACAAAGTCGGGCAACTGAGTCTTGAAAGCTTGCCACAAATGTACAGCACCTACTGGCAGGGTAAAATTATTTTTTTTAGAAGATTTATTTATTTATACAAGAACTGGGGTACAGGTCACAGGTGCGGGAGGGTGAGTAAATTCACCAGAGAGAGCTGGGAGCAGAACAGAGGAAGGGACCAAAAACACTGCTGAGGGGAGCAGCAGGCAAGGCAGGAGAGGTCTGCCGCGCCATGTGGGTTTCTCCCTGACCAGCTAGTAATGGAACCCGCGCTGCAGAGTCTGCTGACAGCTTCACAGCTCAACGCTCAACACGCTGCACCACCGGGGATGCCCGTAAAATTATTTTAAAATGGTACTATTTATTGATGAATTACCATGCATTAAATATCTGCTTGTTTGTAACAGTCCCCAAGTATTTAGATAATTACGGGTAAAGTTTCGTCCGAGTTAAAAATGTGTCACTAAATTATCTCTGAAATTCCTTCCAATTCAAAAGTTCCCCGATTTCTAAGAATAAGTTCAGGGTCAATTCCAACAATCACAGACCTACCTCTCCTTTAGGTAGCCTGCTGAAGTAATCTGGAGATGTGCTGTGTATAGCAGTCCAGCACAACATAAGCAGTTCCCCCCCGCAAAAAAAAAAAAAAAGCTGTAAGTGGGAGGGTGTTCAGCACCCGGTGCTTGCTCAGAGAATATCGAAATCACCTAAACTTAAAGTGGCAGCACCAACCAGGCAGAAAGCTTTGTTTCAAGACTTGAGAAACTGAGGTCAAACTGCCCCCTCTGTCCCTAACTAGCCCTAGTCTGGTAAGAAGTCACCTCCTCTCTCTGGAGGCTGATAGATTGGAGTAGAACCTCGCAGGTCCCTTCCAGCTCGGAATTCCACAAGTCCCAAGCGAGCAGAAGTCAGGAATACCCCTTCCACCAGGAGTAACTCCAGTCCTCCAGCCAGGGCTCCGGAGCCCCCTACCTGCAAAGCGGAACAAGAGCTTCCCGGCCAGAGAAGGCGACCCCATAAGGTCTATCAGGAAGCAGGCGAGGAGCCGAGACTGTTGTAACCCACACCCACCCTCTCTCAGGTGGGAGGAGGGAAGGGCGCCAAGTTGCCCAGGTGCGTGGGAAGGACCGCGGAGACGGGACGCTGCCGCGTAGGTGTGGCCCTTTACTCGCCCTCGCCCCGGGAGAAGGAGCTGCGGGGCTGCGCCCCCATCGACCCAGGAGCGCGGCGAAGGCGGGCACGGCGTGCCCGCAGGGTCCCGGAGGCCCGCGGGCGCTCACTCACCCACAGGCTGCTGAAGTAGTCCAGGCCGCGGCAGATGAGGGCGCCCACGTACGCCAGCAGCACCTGGATGCCCAGGTAGCTGCCGATACTGTAGAGGCCGTAGAGGAGCGGGCCGCCGGCGCCCAGCAGCAGCAGCAGGCGGCGGCGGCGCAGCGCCTGCTCGCCCAGGGCCTCCACGCCGTAGTCGGCGAAGCAGAGCGGCAGGAGCAGCGCCGCCAGCACGATGGGCGTGTGCGCGCGGTGCAGGCGCTGCAGCCAGTGGCGGCCCCGGCGCGTCAGCGAGCTCTTGAAGGGGTGCAGGAAGGTGCCGCACAGCACTGCCCACAGCAGCGGCCGCAGGAAGGCCTCCAGGATGAAGTAGACGAGCACCGCGGCGCCGCAGCACAGGCACACGAACAGCACCGCCCCGGTGTTGTAGAAGGCCTGCTTGATGGGCTTGTCGAAGCGCAGCGCCAGCACCGCCGCCCGCGGGGTCTCGCCGCCGCCCCCGCCGCCCCCGCCCCCGGCCCGACAGCGCGCGGGGCCCGCGGCGCCCGGCTCGGGGAGCCCGGAGGACTGGGCGCCCCGGCAGAGCCACCGCCGCCGTCGTCGGCCATGGTGCTTCTGGCGCCGCCGCCAAGAGGCGGTTCTGAGCGCGCCGGGCGAGACGCGGGGCGCGCTGCATTGTGGGAGTTGTAGTTCTTAGCTGGCCGCCGCGCGCTGAGAGGACTTTGAGGAACTACAACTTCCAGAGAGCATTAGGCGAGTTCCTTCATCCCCGGGCTCCCTTTATTGGTTCCTGCAGACTCCAGGTAACAGGTTTCTGGGCTCAATGTCTTGCAGGAGGCCGGGGGGGGGGGGGGGGGGGGGGGGGGGAGTTTCTTTCACCCCTTGGTTAAAGTCAGCTTTTCGGAAGGCGAAATCCTAAAAGAGATACTGCCTTCACCGACTGAAAACTCAAGCTGCACGCTAGAATCCCGTGGGGGACTACGCATGAAAGGCCGACTCCTGGGTTCCTTTTTATTTATTTTTTTTACTTTTTTTAAAGATTTATTTATTTATGCATACAAGAGCTGGGGTACAGGCCAGAGATGCGGGTGTGTGTGAGAGAGAGAGAATTCACCAGAGACAGAGTGGGGAGCAGAACGGGCAGACTGACTGAAATACACCGCTGAGGGGAGCAGCGGGTGAGACAGGCGAGGTCGCCATGCCATGTGGGTAGCTCCCTGGCCTGCAGGGGCTGGAACTCGCGCTGCAGAGGCTGCTGATTGCTTCATAGTGCGGTGCTTAACCCTTTGGCCACCAGGGAGACCCGGGTTCATTTTTATTGATTTCTTTCTTTTTTTCTTCTTCTTCTTTTTTTTTAATTTATTCAAGAGCCGGGGCACAGGCCAGATGCGCAGGAGGGTGAGAGGATTCACCAGAGACAGAGCAGGGAACAGAACAGACAGACGAAATAAACTGCTGAGGGTAGCAGCAGGCAAGACAGGAGACAGGAGAGGTCTGCTCGCCATTGGGTTGCTCCGAGGCAGGCGGGGATAGAACCGGCACTGCAGAGGCTGCGGACAGCTAGCTCACAGCGCTGCGGTCAACCGCCTGCGCCACCGGGGAGGCCCTATTGATTTATTTCGTAAACACTCAAAGTGTTTGCACTGGGATATTTTAAATAGATTACCCAATGGCAGATCCTGTTCTAACTGCCTAGTTGTATTAACTTATTTAATTCCAAGAACAACCTACAACGAAGATGGTGTTACTGTCCTCATTTTATAAAGAGGAAAACTGAGGCACAAAGAAGTTAAATACCTTGCCAACGTTGTAACTAGTAAGTGGCAGACCATTCAAACTAAAGAGTGTGGCATCTAAGTCTATACTCTTACCTACTATGTTAATTCTGACAAGGGACCCCATGACAATTTTTAAAGTTCCTCACACGACTGTAATGTGTGCCCACTGTGTGTATTCATATCTGGGGCAAGTGTGGGTGTGGGAGCAATCTAAAATCCTGAAAGAGCTCTAGATCAGAGTTTCAAGCTGCTCATTTCTTTTTGATACCTGGGGTCAGGTCAATTAAGCCCCCAAAAGCCATTTCCTCCCTGTCAATGGGAACGATAAAAATAGAAGCCCTTGTCTCAGGGTTCTGAGAAAAAGAGGAAGTTCTGGAGCAATGCAAAGTCCTTCTGTTCTCCTGTTGGAAAGGTCCGGGATTCACACCTACTATTCCTAATATATCTGAAACAACATAAGGAGGAGGAGGAGGAGGCAAGAAGAGAAAGAAAGAAAGTCACAGGCAGGCAAGTAAAAAAGAACAAATGAGAGAGAGAGAGCCTTTATTTAGTACTCAGTGTGTTTATGCTTCAAAGCCCTGCAGGTTAACCCTTTTCTGTTTTCATGAAGTTTTTATATTAATTTTGACATAATTCTTGTTTCTCTTCTAAATATAAAGTGATTGTTATTCAATTCCCAGGTTAAAGAAAAATGTTGCTTGCTAAGATTGGGAAACAAGGGCATTCAGTAAAAAAGAAAAAAAATAATTCTTTCCATATCATGTTTTGGGTGTCAGGCCACATTCCGTTTTTCAAGTGGTCTTTGGACTCTGACTCTGTAAATATTTTGCTTCAGTTGTTCTACATTTTGCTTTGTTTAACTTCTTTTTCCAGGCATGCAGAGATTAGGATTACAAATTATGGTCCCAATTGCTTTCAGTATACATTTTACACGAGTCAAGCTCCCATTATGTAAGAACAAGTCCCAGCCTCCCTCCCAAAAAGTTTGAGTTATTTCTAGAGTGTCCCAAAGGGGGTGACTTACATAAACCCAACCAACATGAGTGAACCAGCAAAACCACCTGCTGCCCACACAGCTTAGCTCCAATGAGTCCAATACCCTTCATAAGACTGCCAGTGCTTGTGATACTCTCCTGATCCTGGATACTCCCAAACCCAAGCAGAGCTGGGTTCCACTCCATGATGGGGAAGGAAGCCCTTCTCTCTGACTTACTGATTCTGTGCCCTGTTGTCACCCAAGCCCTAAAACACATCACTTGGGCCCAGTGTATTATAACACTCCTCATGAAGACTTCCTTCCATGTCTGCCTTAATTACAGGGGCTCAAAGTCCATCCAAAGAGTGAATGAAAGAACAAAGACCAAACCATCCCCTCTGTCCTCCTCCAACCAAAGACTGAGCTCTCTTCCTCTAGTTACAAAATGAAAGCTCCCATGTTACACAACAAAAGCTCTACAAACAAAAACTGACATGTGTATGCATTGCACATGACAAGTCAGGAGTAATGTTGCCTAAATTGCGTTGGATCCTAGCTCAACAAATCAAAAATGCTCTGTCATAGTGTTCTGCTTCCAAGTCTCAATGAGAGGCAAAATGCCAAAACTGTTCTGATGACCAAAAACAATAGAACTGACAGATCTCAGCAGGATTTCTAGTTAAGAATAGAACTCTAGGGTCCTCCCTAGTGGTGCAGCGGGTTGAGTGCTGCGCTGTGGAGTGGTCCGCAGCCTCTGCAATGCAGGTTCAATTCCCGGCTGGCTGGGGAGAAACCCACATGGTGTGGCAGACGTCTCCTGTCTTGCCTGCTGCTCCCCTCAGCAGTGTCTTCGGTCCGTCTGTGTATTCTGCTCCCCAGTCTGTCTCTGGTGAATTCTCTCACCCTCCTGTGCCTCTGACTATACCCCAGTTCTTGTATAAATAAATAAATAAATCTTTTTTTTTTTTAATAGAGGCATGTTTTATTTATTTATTTATTTATTTGTTTATACAAGCACTGGGTACAGTCAGAAGCGCGGGAGGGTGAGAGAATTCACCAGAGCCAGAGCGGGGAGCAGAGCAGGCAGAAGGACCGAAGTACACTGCTGAGGGGAGCAGCGGGCGGCAGGAGAGGTCTGCGCGCCATGTGGGACCCTCCTCCGGTGGCCGGGGAGCAGCTGGGGATCGAACCGGTGCTGCGGGCAGCTTCGCAACCCAGCGCTCAACCGCTGCGCCACCGGGGAGGCCCAAATAAATAAATCTTTTTAAAAAAATGGAACTCTAATAGAAATGAAGGCTGAAGTACTAGATCTAACTAGATAAATGTTTGTATTACCTTACAAAAGGCTGGTTCCATAGGATTTAGCTCATCCCTCTATGACTACACACCACTGCAGACCAAGTCCATGATTGACATGGTTTGGCTTCATTTCTGTGTTCCTAGCACCTTTTACACCATAGGACACTCATAATACAGAGGAGATGCTTGCTAAATGTTTGCTGAGCAAGTGAGTGAATGAGAGGTTTCCAGTCATAAAATAAAACACCCATTTGTGCTTCCTTCCAGGGATGATATTGAAACACTGTGCATATTTCTTCCTAAGAAACAGCTCTTAAACAGCCTCCTAGGGGCCTCCCGGGTGGTGCAGCGGCTGAGCGCTGGGTCGCAAAGCTGCCCGCAGCCTCTGCAGCACCGGTTCGATCCCCGGCCGCTGGGCAAGGGCCCCACATGGAACGCAGACCTCTCCTGCCACCCGCTTCTTCCCTCAGCAGTTTACTTAGTCAGTCTGTCTGTTCTGTTCCCCGTTCTGGCCTCTTGAATTCTCTCACCGTCCTGCGCTTCTGACTGTACCCAGTGCTTGTATAAATAAATAAATAAATCTTTAAAAAAAAAAAACCAACAGCCTCTTAGGGTTCAGAGCAGAGAAATATTAAGATAGATACTAGGACATAAGACCTACAAACTAAATTTGAGAAGGACATAACCAGTCCACTCAAATCTCTGGCCCACAGGACGTAGCTTTTTGATATTCCCTCTGCAGTGCAAGGCTACTCAGGTATTTCTTTGCTGGCCCCACACAGTAACTCACTCCAATGACCTTTGGGTAGAACACCCTCCATGGATATCCAGGATACAGTGATGGTGAAATGGATTCAGAATAGTGGATCAAGCTGACCCTGGGATCATGTGGTTGTTGGCCTTCCTATTTTATGCGTCAATGAATTTCCTAATCAGTTTAGTCAGATTTAGTTGGGTTTTATGCTTGCAACAGAAAGCTTTCTGGCTGATAAGATGGTAATACCTCCATCACTGGTTACTGTGAGGATGAAGTTCTGTGCCTGGGACATATTGAGAACCTGATAGTTCTCTCTTGTGTCCTGGGGTCAGTCTTGTGTCCTAGAGAAGCCAAGAGGCATTTCCCAAATAGCAATACATGACCACAGACTCCCAAGGTAGCAGGACAACAGCTCCAGAGATAAAACACAGGCAAAGAGGATTCTCTAGGACATCGTATCTCTGTTAGGAACTCCAAGTATTCCTGCAAACATTTACTGAGTTGTTCTGAGCACCTACCTACTTTGCACAAAGTCCTGTGCTTATAATGGAATGTATATATCACGCATAAAGAAGTGGTAAGTCAGGAAGAAGGCCAGTGAAAATATAATCAAAAAGAGATGCATTCAGATTCCAAATGTAAGTTACCACTTCCCTTGCTAAATCCATGGCAGACATTGTTAATCACCAAACTCTTAACCACTGAGCCCAGATACTACCTCAAATCCTCCTCAGCAGAATATTCTAAGGAACCTTTACTAAGTGAACAAAGCAGGCACGCACGATGAAACTTGTTTGCCTTTCCTACTAATAGGAAAGTGTCTGATACTAGCTACAATTGGCAGATACTAGCTACAATAGTGTCTGATACTAGCTACAATTGGCAGACTAAAACAATTGGCTACAATTGGCAGAAGATGACCAATCTAGAGGAAGAGTTTGGGAATCATTGAGTTTTATTGTTCTATTATTTTTATTTCAATGACTGAAGGACAACTGACGCAAACAAGTCTGATACCACCAGGTCTTGCCTAACTCCCTCGGAACTTCCCCTTCTACCTCCTCTCTGCAGACTGGGACACATGACCCCTACTTACAGTTACAGGTCGAGCCGGCTCACTGAGTGGAATGTAATCTTTTCTGCCTCCAGATTCCTGTCCAATGCTCTGTGCCCTCCAGCTGCAGCTGACATTGTAGGCCATATCAACAAAGACAGTTTTACTAGCTCTGGAAAAGTTTAGTGAGGCAATTCAATCGACCCAACTAAGGCTCACATACTCAGGAGAAGGCCAGATAAATAGAAAGAAGCTTGGGCAGTTCTTTGGAGGGAGAGGGGGACTTTGTTTTAAAGTTTGCAACCAAGTTTGTTAAGGAGGATGGACATCTGCAAGGTAAATTTTGTGATTTACAAGTATGGGTTGAAAGCCAGAGTGGACTGTCCAGAAAGTAACCGGTTCTTCAGTTTCCTTCATGGGTGCCTTTTCATCTTTGCAGGAGTGACTTACATTTTATCGGGAACAGTTGAAGTTTGAAAGTTAGGGATCAGATTTTGGAATTCTTAGTCTACCTCTTCCTTGGCTTTACTCCCACCAATATACTCAAACTAAGGCTGAAGTCACCCCAGTGTATAAATAACCAGCCTTCTGCTGCCATTCACAGCAAGACAAAACCAGAAAATGGTGGATTCATTTCAAATTGGCCAGACTAATCCCTCTTTATTCATAAAAGATCTTTACTTGAGACTCAAATATGTGGGCTTGGAATCCTAAGTATCACTTGTTTGTACACTCTTGGTTTGTATACCGATGTCACCATAGCATCTAACTGGTTTCTCCGTCTGTCAATTGAGCATAAACTTTTATTTATTTATTTAATTTTATTAAGGTCACAGCCTCCCATTAGGTATTGCCACTGCAGTGCACCTACCATTCTCCTTCTGACTTATTTCTCTAAGCATTATCCCTTCCAGCTCCATCATGTTGCCACAAATGGGCTCATCCTTTTTGATCTCTGAGTAATATCCCACTGTGTGTATATATCACATCTTCTTGGTCCACTTATCTGTTTTGGGGTTCTTAGGTTGTTTTCATCATTTAGCTTTTGTAAATAGCTCTGCAATAAACATGGGGGTGCAAATTTCCTTTCAAATTACTATTTTTGAATTTTGGGGGTACTGCCTAGGTGTGGAATTACTGGGTTGTATAGCAGGTCCATTTTTAATCTTTTGAGAACCTCCATATTGCTTTCCATATGGTCTGGACCAGTCTGCATTCCCACCAGCAGTATAGGAGGGTTCCCTTTTCTCCACATCTTCACCAGCATAAACTTCTAGTCTCCTAACCTGTGGGAAACTCTACTATGATTTGCAAGTCCCTCTATGAAGCCTGCTCACCCTTCCTCACCTCTCCCTACTCCCTACTTCCTCGCCTCGTCTTTATCCTCCAGCAGTTTAGTGGCAAGAATAATGGCCCCCAAAGTTATCCTGGTCCTAAGCCCAACAACTTGTGAAGTTATCTGACATAATAAAATACACTTTGCAGATGTGATTAAATTAAGGAATTTGAGGCTTTATCCCAGGCGATTAATCTGGATTATACAGGTAGAGCTTATATGTAATCACAAATATCTTTGCCAGAGGACAGGAGGGAGGTTAGACTGCAGTAGAGAAATATCTGACCAGGGAGCCAGAGAGATTGGAGTGAGGAGCCCACAGGCTAAGGGATGCCAATAGCTATCAGCAGCTAGAGAGGCAAGGAAGGACTCTCTCCCCTAAAGCTCCCAGAAGGAACTAGACCTTCCAACATCTTGATTTTAGCTCTGTGAGATTCACTTCTCAAACACTGCAGGAGAATAATTTCTGTTGTTTTAGGACACTACATTTATGGTAACTTCTTACAACAGGAATAGGAAATGGGTAAGTTTTGACAATGGTTCCCCAACATTCTGCTGATCTTTCTTCACTGTTGCTCTTCCCTCTCTTGGAGATGGCACTCTTAAGATTGCCACTCCTTAAGATTCAGCTTCAATATAACCCCCTGCTTTCCTGGTTGCCCCAGGCTGGGTGAGGATCCCTGCTGCAGGTTTGTACCACACGTGGATTCCCTTTCCACAGCAGTCATCAAAAGGTATTGTCATGGTGTTTATGTTTCTGACCCCAATTTGCTTTGAGCCTTTTTGGGTAGATATCAAGGGCTGGACTTCCTGTAGTCCCAGTAAATACTTATTGAATGAATGAATGAACAAACAGGAGGTTAAAGGTTCTTGCCTGAGATGTAGGTGACTTTCATGTCCCCTTCCTACAGCTTATCCCCTGGTCTTTGCACCTGCGACTGAGCTCTAAGAACTAAGGCAGACATCAGCCAGCGTCAAGTCTAATTGCTGGGCTACCCACTGAGGATACTATAAGTAAATCCCACAGCAGACACCTATAATATAAAAACCTGACAAAATGTTTGGTTTTGGAAGGTGTATGTGTGAGGATTAATCTACACAGCAGAACATGGTGATGCCTAATTCTTTATATGCCATTCCATGATCTTCTAAACTACTCCCCAGTGGTACCAAAAACTCAACTATTACATTCTGCAATTTCCATACCTCCCTGATGATTCATAAAGCTGTGACAAATTCATAAGCTCTAATTATTGCTAAGGTACAATATGATATAGCTACTTATAAAGGCTCTTAATTGAAATTCTTGGAGCTAGCTATGCGCTATTAACCAAGTAATACACTTTAAATGGGATTATAGGCCTTCATTTGTTGGTTGATAAAGCTATTAAATTGAAACCATAAATGCAAATTTATTTTGCAAATTGTTTCTCTAAAAGGATTTTTACCTGCTACTGCAACATGATTTTCTTGTCAGACAGAAAGGCTGTCATCTTCTCCAGTGTCTGTGAATTTCAAGGAAACTTTACTGATGAAAGGATGTAAAACAAATAAACAGAAAAGGAAAAATACACCAGGGCAAGGCAATAAGGAATTATAAACTAACTTTAATTACATCAACAGGAAGAATTTCAAACCATGTTGAGAATTTATATTTTAAAGTTTAAATCTAGTTAATATAGTCTAACTATAACATAATCCTCTATAGGTAAAAGTATTTGTGATGGCAAATGGACAGAATGATCATTTAGGTAAAATCTAAGAATATTGCTGTGATTATTTTATGTAAATAGAAATGTGTATCTTTATTAGTAAGGTACCACATATCTTAGAGTAAAAATTCACACAGTACAGGCTTATAAATATACATAATTCTCAAAATCAATCACAATTGAACATTACTTACACAATTATTATAAAACAAATATAACCCATCAATGTCTATTTAAAGGCATTGTTTTTATAAAATAGTATTTTGCAGTCTCAAAAAAGTATATCAATACTCCTGGAGTCAGATTGTTCCAGCATATCAGCACATCTGTGGGAATAAGGCATGTGAAGAAGCTGCACTCACACTTCCAGGTGACCAGGACATTCTATGTGATGAAATGGTAACTGCTCCAGTGACCTGGATGAAAGTCACAACCACCGCAGCCCCCCATAACCCTAGAGAACCACTTCCTCTCTAGAAGGATGGAACTGAACAGCTATTTACCTAACAGCAACTATCCAGGGGGAAACTGAAAATATTAGTCAAGCATCAGTAAATTTTAAGTGAAAAATCCCAAAGAGCTTGATGATTTGCTTAAATTTTCAGTTATCTAAAATCACATTAGCATAGCCACTATTTTCATGAAAAAGAATTGATACTTAAGTCATCTATTAAATATAAAACAACAAAGTCCAACTTGAAACTAAAAATTGAATAACTAAGAAATCTAATTAAACACAAAACATATACAGGTTGCATCAACATGCCACTTACTCAGTGAACACTAGCCTCAGTTTCTTAACTAACAGTATAGAAAAGTCAAATCCAACAGTGACACTTAATCCGTCCTTAACAACTCATTAATGTCAAATGGAGGAGGCAAGGCTTTGTGAAGGATCCAGGAATCCTTTCTACAAACTAAATTATATAAACTCAAGAGTGGTTTTGCCTGTAACACGCACAAGTTTCTTTTTCTCTTGGGTTTTAAAGTTTCAAAATATCAGAAACAGAAACAGTCCCAACAAAGACCGTCAAATGGTCATGGTATATACATATAGACACCCATGTATAAATACACGCCTCATCATGTATATACAAATATACATATATGTACAAGCACATGAGAGTGATCAAAATATTCACTAAACATAACCAATTCTGTTTAGAGAACCAGGACATACAATTATATACAGCAAAGTATACACATCTCAGCATTGGACCTATTGCAGGGGCCTTCAGTTTTCCAATACAATACACAGGCAGAAACCATAGTCACATGTGCAAAACACCCCCATAGTGTAGCAGATTTCAATAAAACTTTAAAAAAATGTCTAACAGGGAAATAAATTACTCAGAAATATTATAATCTCCACCATAATGAGCAGCACAGTGGTAAAAGATATTCACCGTGGCCACAGTTTATGTGAAACAAAACTGTTGCCTAGCCAGCTCTGACTTTACTGTGCTTGTTTTGCATCGGCATCAGAAAAATATACTAGATGGTAACTACCTGGGAATGCCGTTATCAAAAGAAAAATAAATTAACTCTAATTTATTTATAAAGTACTAATTTCCTGTAACAAATTCCTGATGGTTCCTTGGTCAAGAATAAGTCCACGGGGCGTCCCTGGTGGTGCAAGGGGGTTAAGACGCAGCACTCTGAGGCTGTCCACAGCCTCTGCAGGATGAGTTCTATCCCCCGCTGGGGAGGTGATCCACATGGCGCAACAGACCTCTCCTGTCTCGCCCACTGCTCCCCTCAGCAGTGTATTTCAGTTAATCTGCCTGTTCTGCTCCCCATTCTGTCTCTGATGAATCCTCTCACCCCCCCACAACTCTGGCCTATACCCCAGTTCTTGTATGCATAAATAAATAAATCTTTAAAAAATAAAAAAGAAGAGTAAGTCCACAGAACAAACCAGCCTGCTGCCTGTGAAGCCAAAGAATTATTCATACCCTTGAAAAAGATTTTATAAAAATAATCAAAAGAAGAATATTTGTGACCCATGAAAATTGTATGAAATTTAAATTTCAAAGTCAATTAAATTTTATTGGAACAAAGCCATGCTTGTTGGTTTATATATTGTCTACAACAGAACAGCTGGAACAGAAACTACAAAGGCTAAAATATTTGTCATCTGACCCTTTACAAAAAAAGTTTGTTGACCCCTTGGCCGGAACCAAGATTCACTCCCAGCCTCTAAGGTAATGTCGGTACCTGAACACAGACAATAAGCTTAATTACAGAACAAGTAGTGAAAACCATCTGGGATGGAAATCCACCCCTGAGTTGTCCAAACTTTCTGATTTCCTTAATGACAAAAGCCAACTTCAGATAATTAGATATTGTTCCTGTACTTTGTCTAAAATCATACTTATAAGCTTATCTTTGACACCACAGTGGAGTAACAAGAATGCGCTGGGTTCCACATTAGAGGGCCTGGGTTTCAGGCAGGTCACTTTTAAGAATTAACTAAGACAAATACATCCTTCCCGGCTTATTCACTCTGTCTATTGGGAGAAAAAAAAAATATTGAAAGCACGAAAATGCCTGGTAAAGTAATTAAAATGTTTTTGAGAAGAAAGTTGATAGCAAGTGAAATGTGTCCCTTTCCCTAAATATAACTATAAACAGTCCCCTTATTTATTGTAAATTAATTACTAAAGGGGAAGGGAACTAATTTGAATGTGAATAATGGGTTCCTTTTAATGAATGTGCATGAAGACATGAATGTATGGGTAACCATATCACCTCCGTAAGTCTCAGCTGCCCCCTTTTAAAATAAGGGCATTGGATAAAATGGTCTCTACAAACTTACCAGCAGTGGTAATTTATGCTAAATGACTTGCCTCAGTTACTTCATCTATGAAATGGAATTATAGAATGTACTTCTTAGGGTTGTCATGAGGATTAAGTGAGTTAATCCATGTAATGTGCTTAGAACAGCACTGAATGCATTTAGCTAGTAGCATTACTCCATTTGGGCATTTTACAAAAATACTCTGATTGGCATCTCCCTGTAACAAGTACATTGTTAGAAAATGGAATACAGAGATAAAATAGAAGTTGATTCTCTTATATTGAGTAAGAATGAATAAAATTGAAGTCTACAGATTTTAACATCATTAGCATGTCTATAAACTGATGATTCTCTGACATGGTCAAATGCTATTCTGCATCCACGGTCTGTTAATTCCTATTTCTGAGCAATGATATTAAAAATGTCAGCTATGTTTTACAAAACTAGACAGCATCATTACTAATGATCTTCCCGTTTATGTTTCAAAAGTCAGAGCTCAGTATTTGCTAAAGGAATGGCTATGGCTTGATCAGAGGTGAAAGAGTATAAAAAGTTGCCCAGTCTGGCAGTGTATATGAAACACAATCCTTCTGAACAAAACAAACTTGACATACAGGTAGTTTCATTTCTCTATTCATTGAACAGATGTTTTCTTGAGTCCTCACTGACCAAGGTTTAGAGTAGAAAATTTGGAAAGGTGGCATGACAAGACCGGAAACTGGAAGTGAGGGTAAAGATGATTTAGATCATCAAATAACTAGCTATAGAAATGAAAAATCTTTAGGCCTGGCTGGGAAGAGAGGATGTGGAACTTTTGGCCAGTGTAAAAGGCTGCTTTAGAAAACACCCACAGGTGTGAAACAGAGATGAAGGAATATAGATTAAGGACCATTATGGAGAATCACCATCCTCTTCAGACCTATCTAGTCATGCCATAGAAGTAATTAACCTAACAGTTAACAATTCCACATAGAAAGGAACACCTTCCCCACGGAAAGATTACATTAGAACATGCCCGTCCCTTCCAAACATAGCTCTCCTGCCCACCTGTGACTATGTAGGCATCTCTTTTAACAAACCTGTCCCTTTTAGAGGCAGTTCTTTCTGCCCACTTGTGTCTGTACAAGTGTCTTCTCCTTTCCTTTTTTTTTTTTTTTTTAAATAATAAGCCTGCCCTTTTGGATATAAACAAAAGTTTTTGCCTCACAGGGAAACTCATCATGTGCTGCTGCAAGGGGAACTCTAATGAAATTTATCAGAGGTAATCCAAGGACCCCACTCTCTGAACCCAACACCTCACCAAGTTGACATCACTTACTAGGTGGTAGTATATGTTACAGTGATGGGTAAGAAGAAAAGGTTCCTGTTTAGGGAGTTAGCAGGGAGAATGATTTACCAGTGACAGTAAAGTGTGATGAGTAACAGGATAGGGATATCCAGTGTGCTATGGGAACATTTGCCAGAGACCTAAAACCTACCCTGTCCAGGGGGTTGGAGGAAGAAATAGGTAAGCTGTGATCTGAATGATTAGTTGGAGTTCAGCAAGCAGTTAGTGTGCAGTGTCTGGGCACAAGGAACACCGCGAGAGGTGAGAAAGCAGGTTCAAAGAACCGAGAGCAATTGTTTTGCTGGGACATAAAAAATGAGCAGCGGTGTCAAAAGATGATATTGGAGGTGATGAAAATAGTTTGCATTTTACCTTAATGGCAAAAAGAAGTAATTGAAAATTCTAAGCACAAATATGCAAAACGGGTAATCGGAATAGAAACAATTGGTGAAAAAATTAGCTTGACTTGAAATGTACGTGAAAAGTAAGCAGAAAGAAAATTTCATTCATTTATTCCTTCCCTGCCTGCAAAAGAGACAAGCTGAAGTTTCTCTTTACTTTTAGCCTATTTATACCTGAAATATTGTACACAAAGAGTGAAATATAAAAATATTTCCTTTCTTATTTACAATGTGGGTGCCTGCATACTCAGTATCCTCACTCCTGAACAACCACTCTAGCCTAGAAGGGGCTTCACCGACCATCCTCAGCCATGACTGGAAGGCTGAGTTACCCGGCCATGATGGTCAGGTGGAGACCTGAACCAGGTGGCTCGTGTCCTCTCAGTACCATTGCTCACCTGATGTTAGGTAACTTCTCTGCATCTGCAATGAGGATTATTTCTCCTGCTTCACTCAGATGCTCTCAGTCAACTGTGCAATGTCACACTCAATGTTTACCTATTGCCTTGTTTCCTTATTTTATTATTTTTGTTTAATTCCAGAAGAATATGAACGTTCTTCCCACAGGAGGACGGTCACCCCGCATGAATTCCAAGGTTGGTATTAGAAATCAGCCTCCAGTGATGTTTAATAACAAAACCTCCAAGTTGAAGCCAGTGTAAAAGCACTGGGAGCAAGCAAGATGACTCTGGAACTCTACAATGTGTGTGACTATGCCCATAGGCTTTTTTCCTTTAAATGAGCTGTTAGCGCAGACATTGGAACACAGGAACACCTGGGTTCCTTTAAAAAAGAAAATGCATGAGGTCAAGTCATTATGATCAATGACTGAACACTTTGAATGGATACTCACTTGATATGAATTCACTTTAAGGGTCACTTCCCATTTTCTAATTAAGAGGAAAAAAGCCTCATCTTTAAAAAGTTTCTACTCCAAATTTCCAAAAATGTTTATTTGCTATCAAAATGACTTAAACTTTTATTAAGGTGATTTGCCTATTATAATATGTATTTAATAATATTTAGTGTATGCTGACTGTGACAACAGAATTAGCTGTCACCATGGGTGAATACCTTGGTTTATAAAATATAGTGGTAGAAGAATCCACATTCTAACTGCTAAAATAGGCCCATGTTTTTATCATTAATCTAATTTTACATTTTCAGCAACACTCACAATTTCATTTCTACCTTTTCCAAACAGCATTAAAAAAGGTTTTCTCATTTCAAATAAATATGAACTATTTCCACATCATTGTAGTTTCTCCCATTCTCCCTATCACTGTGTAAATAGCCAAAAGCATTTATGGTTCATAGATTTTGAAAGATCTTCTGCCTAAAAGATTGTGCACTTAGGGATATCCAGGCTATCCAGTGACATTCTTCTTAGCAATTCACCAAATAACTCTCTTGGTGGTGTGATTGGAAGAGTGAAGGTTATCTAGAGCCATGATTTCTACACCTTGCTCTTTCTCTGCCCTCGGCATTATCCGATGGTGTAGCCAAGGCTAATTAGCATGTGCTCATAAAAAAGACAGTTCTCCTGGGTCTCAAATCCCATTAAGATGCCAACTCAGAAATGGTGTGAGTTCACATAAGAAAACACATTTGAAAGTGCTTAGAAAAGTTTAAAGCATATTCCAAAAGTATGGCATCATTATTAAACATCTTCTTAGATGAGAAAAGAAGCCTGCCTTTTCTTCCAAAAAAACTGAAAATGTATGAGTCTTTTTTTTTTTTGAATAATAGAAGTTGAAATTATACTGCATATTCTTTAAAAATACTTTATACCAAAGACTTTTCTCATCCATAATGCGTTGGCTTCGTGGCTGTAGTTAAGGGGTTCCCATCAGTAAGTAGAAAGTCAGGGCAACAATGAGAAGCAAACAAAACGGAGAGGAGAAGGTCTGATAGGCAGCAGATGGCATGAAAATGTCTTCATACTTGTAAATACTCACAACACGCTCTGAAGTGGGCGGTGAGTCTATATCATGTCGGGTGATAGAGCCTTTAGGAAAGAAAGAAAAAGGAAGAGGGCGACAGAAAAAAAGCACAGGTTTGTAATGATAGATGCACACAACAGAAGAACTAAGTAATGCTGAATGTCTTCAATGTTGAATACATAAGTCATGATTAAAAGGATTTTGAATCAGCGATCAGTTATCAGGATTTTCTATAATTGTACATTAAGAAAGAATATAAAAATTAGTTAAGTTTATCCAAAAACACTGGTTCTCATGAACTTGCACACTTACCAGATCAATGCTACTGGGTGCTCCACAGCATCCAGTTTTAAGACTGCTCCTTGGTATTGTATGAATTCCTATCTTTAAGGTTGCTAGTGAGTTGTATCTAATTAATACTAAATAGAAAATAATATTTTGATTTCAAATGGCAAGTTACTAATTTTTTTCTCAAATATATCTTTTATATATGGATCATCAACAACTCCTGAACACACTAGACTCCTCACAAGTGGAAACCTCCCTCATTGTCTGTGGGTCATAAAGTGTACCTGCTCAGGTAAAGAAAGGGTGTGTGTGTGTGTCTGGCAGAATAGGGTGGAATGTAACACAAAGTAGGAGGATTAAGATACCAAACAAGTCTTTGGACAGGAAACATTTTTTTTAAAGCTGGTTAGAAGTGAAAAGAGAGAAATACTGTGCAAAGGATGCTTTCTAAACTGAAGTTGATTAGGATGCCTGACCTCCTAAATAATCCAGATAAAATTTGGGTTAGGAAAACTAAGGCAGATGAGTTCGGAGCAAAGGTCTCCTTGGAAATAGGGCTGAGAGTGAGGGTTTTAAAGATCCTGTGTGTTAGGGAAACTGCTAAACTCGCTGTCCATTCTTTGCTCCAGCGTCCGTGCCGGCTGCTGTTAGCACAGCTCTAACTCCTCAGGTTGGCATGAGATTTTTCTCTCAACAGATCCCAGTCATCTCTCCTACCTAATCTCACTCACTGGTCTCTCCTATATGGACTCCTAGGCTTAACTGTGTTCCTCCAGTTCTTGACTTCCTTGAGGGAAATCTAATCCCATGTACCCCTTCAAGTTCTAGCTCAAAATTTATCTTCTTTTGAGAGACCTTAAGAGGATGGGTAGCTATTAGAAGGACATTCAGGAAAAGGAAAAAAGAAAACACAAGCCTGTATCTGGGGTAGGAATGAGCCTGTTTTGTTTGGAGACAGTGAGAATAACAACAGAAGTCCAGAGCAAGCTTATCAGGCAAAGGGGGAAGGGATTGAACATTAAAGTCTTATGCCACAGATGCAAGAAAATGATCTTCTGAAGTATAGCATTTCCAATCTGTAAAGCAATTTCAGCCATGGTTTTCATTTAATGCTTGTAATAATCCTATGAAATTAATGTTATTGTCATGCCCTTTTTAGATATGAAGAAATTGCAGTTCAGAATTTAAAGGCTAGATACAGCTACCACTGAGAAGAAGGCACACCCCAAGTGTTAGATTCCACATCATTCCATATAAGCTCATTTCTCCAGAGATATAATTTATTTCCTAGGGTACTGAAAGTACTCAAAGATATAATTGCAGTTCTATTGCCGGTAATCTGGGAAATAAGCAAGTGGAAAAGGTGTCACAAATCTATGGGGTTCCAAATGTTTTCTCAATTAGAATGGGCAAAAAGGGGAAAAAAAGGTAAAAGATGAAATCTCCAGAACCATCAATGGAAACAATTAGAAGGGGGAAAAAAACAGATCAGACAAGGCAACAATTAGTTGATGAGCAACAGTAAAAAAGACACAACCAGGAGCCAGAATGAGTTCTCGTAAAAGGCCTGCAAAGAATTCACTTTCATTTTCAGTCAGGCCATTAAGCTGATCAACCAGGAGGAATGCTGAAGACACAGTGTAATTTGATTTTATCAGCCTCTAGAAGGTCTCGAGACACCCTTGGGTCTTTTGGGGGGAAAGGCTAAGGAGCCTGGCTACCCAAAGCATCACCAGGAAGCTTGTTAGAAATGCAGACTCTCAGGCCCCACCCCACACCTATGAAAAACTGTATTTTAATGATACAGCCAGGCAATTCTATGCACATTAAAATTTGAGGACTAATGTGCTAAATTATAGTATAATGTGGTGGATTTGTGATTGCCGGAATAATCATAAAGTGAGCACCAATGAAACACTCAGTGCCAATCTCTAGAGAATCTCCAGAAGTGCTTTCCTGCTCAGTGTTTCTTTATTTGGAGCATAAGAGTTATGAGTACTCACTGATGTTGCAGTCAGACAGATTTAAGACTGAATTTTAGTTCCTCCTTTTTTAGCTGTTGAGCAAGTTTCCTAATCTCTCTTCAGTGAGGATGAAGGTCCTCTCAAGGACATGTACGTTATAAATGAGGATATTCTGAGACTTAAATAGAGCCCATATCCCACATATAGCAGGCAGATAATCTGTTTCATCACAGACTCTTGTACTGCTCTGGCTAAGCGCATGTGTAACTTGTCCATTTATATGTTGAAGTGTATAAGTCCTTTTGAAGGCAGGATCATCTCTCCTTTTTCCTTTCTATTATCTCTTGCCCAATAAATAAGGAACACAAATACAGTGATATCTGGCATTTGACCCAGATGTCACAACATAAGCTTACCCTGAATGGCTGGACCCCATGCAAACAGATAATACCAACTCAAATGCAGATCGACAATTGTTTCATCTCTGGGAACATTTACGGGGCGTTTAAATCTGCAGGTGACCCGATTGTTCTCAAAAACTCCTTCTTCATCTCTGGCAGGATTTCTCTGGATTTCTTTTGCCCACTGGCCCACATTATAGAAGTGCTGGATGCGGACCCTGCCGTTGTCGTCATGGACACAGGCCATGACGTCGTCACCACCCTAATGAAAAGTGATGAAGGGAAAAGTCAAAGTTTTGTCTTTTGCAATCTTACCTGCTAGAAAGAAATTTCCCTAGACATATATTCCGTTACCTCTGTAATTTTGAAATGCACCCCAAATTCACATTTTTTTTAAAGATTCATTTATTTGTTTGTTTATTTATACAAGCACTGGGTACAGTCAAAAGCATGGGAGGGGGCCTCCCCGGTGGCGCAGCGGTTGAGCACTGGGTTGCGAAGCTGCCTGCAGCCTATGCAGCACCGGTTCAATCCCCGGCCACAGGGCGAGGGTCCCACATGGCGCGTAGACCTCTCCTGCCGCCCACTGCTCCCCTCAGCAGTGTACTTCGGTCCTTCTGCCTGTTCTGCTCCCTGCTCTGGCTCTGGCGAATTCTCTCACCCTCCTGAGCTTCTGACTGTACCCAGTGCTTGTATAAATAAATAAATAAATAAATCTTTAAAAAAAAAAAAAAAAAAAAAAAAAAAAAAAGCATGGGAGGGTGAGAGAATTCACCAGAGCCAGAGCGGGGAGCAGAGCAGGCAGAAGGACCGAAGTACACTGCTGAGGGGAGCAGCGGGCGGCAGGAGAGGTCTGTGTGCCATGCGGGACCCTAATCCAGTGGCCGGGGAGCAGCCGGGGATCGAACCGGCGCCTCAGAGGCCGCGGGCAGCTTCGCAACCCAGCGCTCAACCGCTGCGCCACCGGGGAGGCCCCCCAAATTCACTTTAAATGTCATTAAGATTTAACACCAAGTGACCAAAGTTAGCATCAGAATAGCTGACATTGAATGCCTCCCAAAATGATGTTAGGAGAATCCATCACCAGCTATATTGTATTTCTACCAAAACATAAAAACTAACATAATCACAAGGAAGTAACCTGATGGCCACAAATTGCAATTCATGCTACAAAAAAACTGGTTGGTAATCTTCAAAACAGAACAGTTGATGGGCCTCCCTGGTGGCACAGCGGTTGAGCACTGGGGTGCGAAGCTGCCTGCAGCCTCTGCAGCGCCGGTTCCATCCGCACAGACCTCTCCTGCTGCCCGCTGCTCCCCTCAGCAGTGTACTTCATCGGTCTGCCTGCTCTGCTCTCCTCTCTGACTCTGGTGAATTCTCTCACCCTCCCACGCTTCTAACTGTATCCAGTGCTTGTATAAATAAATACAAAAACAAAAACAAAAACAGAACAGTTGATGTCATGAATGACTAAAAAAAAAAAAGGCTTAGAAACTATTTCACAATTAAGAAGACTAAAGACACATGGCAGGTACTGGTGTTCTTAGACAGAACCCTAGGCCATAAAACAAAACTTTCTATCAACAACAATACTGGGGCAACTGGAAATATCTGAAAATGGACAATATATTGGACAATATTATCATATCAATGTTAAATGTCCTGAACTTAAGAAGTTGCAAAATGAGAGACTGTCCTTGATCTCAGGAGGTCCCTGGTTAAATATTTAGGGCTAAAGTGTCATAATACCTTTGATTTCATCTCCAAAATTTTCTAAAAGTGATAGGTGGTATTTGTAGAGAGAGACAAATCATGTGTTACCAAATGTTATTGTCGATGAAAAAGCTCCACAACTAGGCAGTGTGATGGCTACACCCTGTGCATGGATCAGCACCACCACAGTGTACACACTGAAATGGTTACAATGGTAAATTTTATGCTATGTATATTTTACAATTAAAGAAGTACTCAATGGTGCATCTAAATGAAGCATTTATGTAGGAGCTTTTGCACTAGCCTTGCAGTTTATCTGTAGACGAACATTTTTGTTAAAACACTTAAAGGCATTCATTAATGATAGCAATGGCCCACTGTTTGAGGAATGCTGATGACTGGGGAAACAGTGCTTGTGTGGGGTTGGGGGGCACATGGGAAACCTTTGTACCCTCAATTCAGTTTTGCTGTAAACCTAAAATTTCTCTGAAAAACAAAGTCTGATTTTAAAAACCCAATAATGCAGCCCATTATAAAAGAAGTTGAAAGCAATTAAAATGGAGTTTCATTTTGCTTTACTTATCCATTGGGGTTTGAAAAAAATGTCAACTGTGTTTCTTGTGGAACAAATAGAAGAAAAGAGAGACCGATATTTTACAAGGCTTTTAAATAGCAAATATAAAATTTGAATGCTTCTCATTTAAAGCCACTCCTCTGAGCCCTCTAACCTTAACAGCCACACAATAAGTACAAATGCACATTTACATAGGCTGACTGGGAGGTAAGTGACATAGATTCATACCCAGTGGTCTTACCAGTTGGACCCATTGTCTTACTACCTGAACCAGAAGCTCATTTTCCTGGTGACCTCTCAAAGAACAAAGCTGTGACAGCTTGGACTGCTTCCTTGGTCTCTTTCTACCCCCCACCTACACCCCACGTCCAATCTACTGGAGAACCTCATCAGTACTGACTTCAAACATATCCAAATTCTGAGCACTTCTCAAGACCCCTATGGCTATAACTCTGTCTGAGCTGCCCTCCTCTTACCACACGTGCCTCAAAGTAGGCCAGGCGAAGAGAAGAGGAAGGGTCTGCACACAGAGCAGCAGCAGGTGCACAGGTATAGAGGCCTGAGGCATTCTGGCTATTGGGAAAGCACCCTGGCTTGGTGAAGTGGCAAATGCTAGGGCTAGAGAAGAGGGAAGGATCGTGCAGAGGCACACAGAGAGAAGCAGAGGCAAGAGATACACAGCTGCCCGGGTTCCTGATGCCCTGCCTGCTCAGGCCCAGTCCTTTCTCAGGTCCAGATGTGTTCTGGCCCGGGGGGTACTATGGACGACTAAACTGCCAGACCCAAGTCTTGCTCCCCTGAAGTAGTAGTGTGTACCCACGTCTTTGCAGGGCCTCTTGGCAGAGGGGCTAGTGCACTTCCTTCCCTTCATTCTGGCCTTGGCCATGTGACTTACTTTGGGTGATGGAATATTAACATGTATGACCCAAGTAGAGGTCTCTGAAATAAGCCTCGATGGCTTTGCTCTTTTGTCTCTGCCATAAAAACAACAGTACTTGGTATGTGCTACTCCTAGAATGATTAAAAATAACTAATTTCAACCCATGGACTGAAGGTTAGCCTAGGTGAGCCCCAGTCAATCCACACACATGCAAGCAAGAAGTAAATGCTTAGTGTTATCAGCCATGTTGCTGTGGAAGCTCTTTTTGCAGGAAATAACTACTGAATATGGGTTCCAGGGACTGCTGGAACTCCTTCTCTGTGTAAATTAGAATTTTTTTTATTGTAATCAGAGAGCATAACTAATATAATCATTGCAGTGCCTTCATTAATTCATTTGCTTTGCTTTTTTGCGAAAGACAATCAAATGCCAGAAATTAGCTTCTAATATTTAAGAGTGGCACGGTAGCTTAGAGAAACAACCATTCTTTAAAATCTAAATCAGCACAGCAAAATAAAAAGAAAAATCAACTCCTAGCATGATCTGCATCTTACCATTTTCTTGTCTGAAGAGAATCCAACTGCTACCCAACCATCAGTATCTGCACTCAGTTCAAATTCCACGTCGGCCCCAATCATCCGGTAGCTGAGGAAGTAGTCACAGGTCTCTGCATTACAGCCTGGTTTCCCATACCTATAGGATATATGCAAACAGACATCATGGCTTCTTCTTCATCCACTTACTCAAAATACATTACGAGACATGTATGTCTGTCTCTACGTATGAGACAGAAGACTAAGCAATACTGTAGGCTAAATTAGATCACTGTGACTTTGGGTCTCAAAAACACAGTCTCACTCAAGGGGACCTCAGAGATGACTTGCTCCATATTATCTACATATAAGCCCAGTTCCAGAGATTGCCCAAGGTTGCACAGTCAGAGGAGCCTGCCCAAGTTTGCACAGTCAGTCAGGAGCTGCAACAGGACTCTGGGTCCCAAAACTCCCAACTAGTGTTCTCTACATTGTATTAGCATATCAAGATATTAGTTATTATTGAACTGTTTCTGAATCCCTATCAGAAGGAAAAAATTCTCCAAAGTAATAGATTGTTTTTGTTAATTAAATGCATACTGATTCTTTGTACCTACAAATTTTGATGTAAGTAAACTAATATATATTTACAAATTAAATGTAAATTAAACCACAAAACTAGGAACATTTAAATTCATAATACCCATGTGATAGATGATATGGCATGCTTTATGTCAGGTGGTATGTCTGACTCTGTAGGGTCTTTGAGCACGTTCTTACTAGTAAATATGACTCCACTGTCCTCGATTTTTATCTGTTTGAACTGCTGCAAAAATGCACCAAATGAATCTTCATCTGGTGCTCCCTGAGCAAAAATGCAGACTTAATTTCTAAAATTTGGCTTTATTCTATCGAACTACTTACACGAACTACGATACAATTACAAATCAGACACTAAAGCACGGAACAGTAGAGAGTGGTTCTCCAGACAATCAGATTAGGAACACATCAATGTTTCAAAGGAGCATCGTTGGAATGAAAACACAAATTTCAGTTTTCTTACAGAGAACTTGTGGCTCCTTTAAGAATGGGCAAACCCTAGTTTGAAGAACACAGTATTATACCATTTTCAGCATGACAGAAAATTACAATAATGGGTGCACCACGGAAGCTCAGATGGAAGGAGTGTGAAGAAACAAGGATAAGGCTGTCAGGTGCTGACCAAGCAGGGGCAGAGGCAAATGCCACCAGGCTGACAGATATCCTTAACAGGCAGAAAGAGATGTGAGTTCAAGGCAGCATGGAACTGGGGTGAAAAAGCTGAAAAGGGGCAGGAAAAACTAAAGAAGAGGTCAAGGGCCAGCGAACAAGTCACCAAGAAGCCAGCAAGGTACTAAATTCCTTCCCTTCAGAAGACCCCTCAATTGCCAGAATTACACACTGCTGGCTACCTTCCTTAGTAATAGTTTTACTGGACATCTTCTTATTCCTTAGAAATGCCCCTGGAATCCGAGAAACCCTGATGTTCAATTTTTTTCTCCTTAAAACTTGAGTACTGGGCCTCCCTGGTGGCACAAGGGGTTAAGCACAGCGCTGTGAAGCTATCTGCAGCCTCTGCAGCATGAGTTCGATACCAGGCCAGCCAGGGAGCAACCTACATAGTGCAGCAGACCTCTACTGTTTCGCCCGCTGCTCCCCTCAGCCCTGTATTTCAGTAGATCTGCCTGCTCTGCTCCCCACTCTTGTCTCTGCTGAATCCTCTCACCTCCTGTACCTCAGGCCTGTACCCCAGTTCTTGTATGCATAAATAAATAAATCTTTAAAAAAAAACAAACAAAACTTTGAGTACTGAACAAAAAAAAAAAAAATCAGAACTTTCCATGAAGTGACCATCAAATCTTTACTCAGGGACAATTGTTTCAGGAAATAAAGATTTCAAAGAGAAGGAGGCTTTGCCAATGAAGTGGAGCTGGTTAGAAAAGAGACCCATTGTCTGCACAGTTGCTTTCTTGCTCCAACCTAACATGTCTTTACAGAACCCTGCTAATAATCCTGAAGGGACTCATTACATGTGACATAACAAGCCAGCTACAATCATCAGTGCTTATTGACTAGTTAGTATTGTACATTACATCTATAAGTCATGACTTTTGTTTGAAAAGGGATTGGTTATTAGATATGTCTGTCATCACCTGACCCGCCCACAGTCCCTGTTAAGCACAGACATAACCTGTATTACACGATTCTTCCTCATACATCCAGGTAGTTAGATGCATGGGCCTAGGGCAGCCTAGTCAGAAATGAAGGACCACAAAAGAACATTCTAGTGCCTAGTGGCATGTGAGAGCTTAAGACCTTAAGACTGAGCTCTGGGAAGGCCACCAGGAACAGGCACACCATTGCTGGAATTATGAAGGGGCACAGGTCTGTGATTAGAATGACATGCACGCAATTTAAATACTACCTTGAGAAAAAAACCAATGCCTTAGCCTTAAAGTCATCCAACTCGAAGGTCTACCAACCTAAAGCATCCCTTAGTTTTTCCACAGTCATCCACTTTGATTTTGGCAAATGGGTCCACAGGAGGAGCAGTAGGGAAAGGGTAACCTGTGCAGTAAGAAGAAACATTGGTTAGAAAATCCAGTAGCAACTTTTCCAGTGAAATATTTTTTTAATATGTTGACAATTTTTTTAAATATATATATCTAGAAATGTTCAGAGCCTCAGAAAATTTTTTATTGAAGTGTCATCATAATCTTTATAAGCTACATATATATCTTCAGAGTTAAGTATTAACTGAGAATGCTTTTATTTTACAGGTAAGGAAACTGAGGCAGTAAGAAGTGTCATAATGTCCTATAACCACTGGCTATTGTACCCTGGGAGTTTGGAAAATCACAATAGACATGCTGTAAGAGAAATACTTAACAATGATACATTTATGTATATAATAGCAGTTTTCCCATTTATATTCATGATAATAGGATTTTTCCATTTCTCTGAACTTTCATTTTTTGCATTAAGATATATAGAACATTTTCATGTCTCAATTCTTAAAACATACTGTCCCCAACAGCTGTGTATCTTTCAAGATAAAATCAATATAAAACGGTACATGGAAGGAGACATCTGCATTGTGCTTCCAGTTTGTGACAAATATATTTTCCCCAAGGCTGTTTATTCCATGCACTCAGGAACCATGTATGATCCACCTTGTATTTTCTGCCCTGCATAGTATTTGACACTGGACAGTGAATAAATGATTGCCAAATATGTAAGCAGAATCACCATGTTATTAGGTAATATAAATAAACTTTTAACAATTATTTTATTTTCTCTTGCCATTATTTTGAACTAGGGTACAGGCCAGGGGTGGGGGAGGGTGAGAGGATTCACCAGAGATAAGAGTGGGGACCAGAACAGGCAGATTGACTGAAATGCACTGCTGAGGGGAGCAGCAGGCGAGACAAGACAGGTCTGCTGCACCATGTGGGTTGCTCCCTGGCTGGCCGGTATCGAACTCGTGCAGCAGAGGCTGCAGATAGCTTCATAGGGCTGTGCTTAACCCCTTGCGCCACAAGGGAGGCCCTGTAATATCTTTAAAATAAGGTTTTGTTAATCTTGTCTCATGAGATTACACTTTATAAAAAAGTCACTGGGTCTCACATTCCTGCTCCACACCTTTGTGTTCTGTACAGCTCATTTCTGTTACCCTTTCCCTTACTCACACACTAAAAGAAAGCCCCAGTTTTTCATCACCTTCAAGTAATTGGGTCAAATGCATTCTTTCTCTAGTTTTAAATGTATTTTCTATTAAGCCTATATTGACTTATCAGAGGCTGAGTACTGTCTTGGATGAGTTTTTTGCTTTTCTCTTAATATTTATTGAGCTACTGTTGATGTATGTTCTCCCTCTTACTTTTCACCACAATGCTGAGGCCAATTTTCATTAAATATCTGTCCAGGAATTCAATGACTACTTACTTGTTTGTTTTATAGACTCTAAAGGTGACTGACAAAGACAATCTTTTAATGTTGCTTCTGACTCAGTTTTCCCATCTTCCTCCATTTTTTCAAACTTATTTTCCTTATCACTTCCTAGCTTCTAAAATAATGTATTGGCATATAAGATTTCCAGCTCAATAACAGTCAGTTATTATTACTACTAGATTATGACTATAAGTTTTATAAACTGGATTTAGAACCAATAGCCACTAGGTAAGACTGTCTCTATAAGAATGGCTTTCTAAGACCCAATAAGAAACCGTTTGGGTCAAAATTCATTTAGAAATGTATCAAATTAGATGGCAAATGATTTATTTCTTAAAACTTTTCTAGCACTCATTTCCTCTGATATGGTTCTAATACTTGGAATGAGAACTTGTGCTGTCAAGTGCATTGGGCATCCATTAGTAGTAACGTTTTCCTCTTCCTCTGTAAGATGTTGCATAGCAAAGAATGTGACTGGCCTTTGTGCCTGGCTCCTAGGAGAGACAACCTTAATCCTTGGGAATTTCCCAAGAACTGCCTTTGTTATTCATGAGCCCTGGGGTCACACATGCATTTATGCCCCTTTTCCTCCCCAACGTGGGCACTCAGTCTAGAGCATCTTGTGCATATCCTTCTGAAAAGAAGGGCGCTTTTAACAAAATGTGCACTCTGACACATACATTTTGGAAAAGCAACATTTTACTGTGATAAACTGAAAGGGCACATCAGTAATAATGGACACCAGACAACCTGCAGTTGGGGTAAGCTCACCTCTACCAGTCTCTTACAGGACATGGGGCCTGCCTATCCAGGGTGCGTTCCTACCAAATCCCAAAATACCCTTCATATTCCCAACACCACTGTCCTGAAACTCTTGTATGATTATAAGGTAATAACCCCACATGCCTTCAGCAGAACCTGGATCTACAGTTCCCGTTACAGGTATATTAGTGTCTCCCCGCCCCACAGTCCACAGCACACCACGCTGGCCACTCCACAGCCGTGCACAAGATCTGGAAGCACCTGAGCAGAGCAGACCAGCAAAGATCCACTCGAACCCATCACCTCTCGCCTGCATGTTTACCTTTAAATATGCGTTCTTGAAAAATAGATAGTTTGCATGTTTTTACTCCACATAAATGACATCAGTTAGTAATTTGCACTATGATTTTTTTTTGTTAAACTACCCACATATGTAAATGTGAAACTTGTCATGACTCTTGAATGAATAATATTCTACACACCAGTTTTGGGCTTGGGTAGACATCTCATTTGTGTGTTTTCCATTTCATTTATTCTCATGCAGCTCTGTATTATTTTTGTTTTTATTTTGAGTTGAATGCTTAGCTCACCTGTTTTCGATCTTCTGTATTTTCTGATAATTATACTCAAAACCATAAATTTCCCTCTCAATTCTTCTGACAGACAACGCTTTGATGGGCATTGTAAATGCATCTTAATTTTCCTTATGACTTTCTCTTTACCCCATGGGTTATTTGATATTGTTATTTTGTTTTTCCTTTCCAAACACAGGCGATTCCCCCTACATTTTTCTTAATTTTAAATATTACTTCAGTGTAGTCAGAAAACATTTTATGTAGATTCTTTGCAATTTACTGACTTCCTTATTTTCTGCACATGGTCAATTTTAGCAGATCTTTCTTGCATATCTCAAAAGAATATGATTCTGTATTTATGGATCCTATATTTGAATTACCGGTGTATTCAAATCATGTCTTCTCTTTTAAATTTTGTTTGATTTTTCAGTTCTAAGAATGGTATGTTCAATGGCACATGTTGATTTTATATTTCTCTACTAATTTCCACCAGTTACTGTTTTATGTTATTTGAAAGCTATATTGTTATAGCTATATTTAGCCTGATTGTTTCTTTTATCAATATGGAACATTACTTACCCCTGAGGTTTTGTGTTAATTATATTGTCTTGAATTATGTTGCTGTCACCTCCGTTTTCTATGGTTCATCTTTTCCTGGCATACGATTTTTCTATTCCTGCAAAATGTTGCACTTAAGTATTTATTTCCATGAACAAAACTCTTCTGTAATTGTCTTTGTCATACTATTCTGCTCTGGCTTTGTAAATAAGGTTATCTTATCCTCATAAAATGAACTGGGGTCCATTCCCTCTTTTTTCAGTCTTCTGAAATAATGCTTAACATTGGCATTTAGCTGTCCCTTGAATGTTTCGGAGCCAGGGAAATTGTAGGATTTTATTCATTTACATTTTCAGGTTCATTGACAAGTTCATTGACTTCCTTTATAAAATCTGCTTCTATTTTGTATTGAGCTATGTAATTCATTTAAAATTCACGATCTTAAAGTATACAACTGGTGGTTTTTAGTGTCTTCACAAAGTTGTGCAGCTATCACCACTGTATAATTCCAGAATATTTCCATCAATTCAAAAAGAACCCCTGTACCTGTTAGCAGTCACCCCCACTTTATCCAGTCCCAGGCAACCATAATCTACTTTCTGCCTCTATGAATTTGCATATTCTGGACATTTCGTATAAATGGACTCATTAATATGTGGCCTTTTGGGTCTGCCTTCTTTCACTTAGCATAATGTTGTCGAGGCTTATACATGTTGCAGCATGTTTTAGTGCTTCCTACCTTTTTGTGGCTAAATAATATTCCACTGTATGCAAATATCACATGTGCTGGTCCATTCATCATTTGGTATGTACATTTGGCTTTTTCCCACTTTTTGAATCTTACAAATAATGCTGCCACAAAACATACATGCACAATTTTGAGTGTGAACATAATTGCTTAGAACATAATTGCTGTGTCATATGGTAACTCTATGTTTCCTTTTTTGAGGAACTACCAAACTATTTTCCAAAGCAGCTGCACCATTTTACATTCCTACCAGCAATGTGTGATGATCTTTTTAAAAAATAGCCATCCCAGGAAATATGAAATAGTATCTTGTCACAATTTTGATTTATATTTACTTAATAACTAATGAGGTTGAGCATCTTCTCATGTGCTTTTTGGCTAGTATATATCTTCTAATGTTTATTGAGAGCCTTTCTCCATCTTTTAAATTGGGTTACTGTCTTTTTACTGTTGTGTTGTTACTTAGTAACATTTTAACCTTATGTTTATTTTCACTTTTTTAACAGTTCTAATATGATTTGTCTTCTCTCTTTTTCTCTTGACCAATCTCACCAGCAACTTATTGTAGTGGTTAATTTTATATACCAATTTGGTTGGGCAAGGTTCTCAAATATGTAGTCAAACATTATTTTGAATGTTTCTGTGAAGGTGTTTTTGTTTGAAATTAAAATTTAACATTTAAATCATGAACTCTCAGAAAAGCAGACTGTCCTTCATAACGTGGTCCTCAACCACACCTGAATATCTGGATAGAACAAAGACTGACTTTTCCCCAAGCCAGAGTGAGTTCTGTAGAAGGTGACTTCAGCTCTGCCTTAGGTCTCTAGCCTGCCAGCCCAACTGGCTTCTGTGATCATATGAGCCAATGAGCCAGTTTTGTAAAGTATCCATCCATCCATCCATCCATCCATCCATTCATCCACCCACCCATCCATCCACACACATACCCTATTAGATCTGTTTCTTTACAGAATCCTGACCAATACACATATTCACTTAATTCACATTTTCAAAGAATCACTTTTGGTTGTTTGAACCTCTTTACCTAGTACCTAATTTCTATTTCATTAAATTAGGTTTTAATCTTCATTACTGTTTCCTCCTATTTTCTTTAGTGTTATTCTATTCTTTCTCTAACTTCATATTTTTTGGCATTTCTTCTATGTCAACATTAAGGCCAACAACTGCCTCCAGGGGTGTCTATCTGGATATTCCGCACTTAAGCAAATCCATTCCATATGTTTAATAACAGCTCCTCCACCTCACCAATGTTGTTCCTTCTTATATGCTTAGTGAGGAATCCCACTACTCACCCATGATGTCCCCTCGGGAACCTCAGTCCTGGATTTCTCCACTTGGTACATTTATTCAGTTATCATTCCTTTATTCCTACCTCAGACACCTGTGCCCACCTTTTGGCGATTCTACCACCTCCTGTTTGATTCCCCCTTGCTCCCTCTTCTTCTGCCATGTGCCATCTTTCTAAAACAGAAATCTGATCTGGTGATATCAATGTTTAAAAACCTTTATTGGCCTCCTCTACACTTAGCTGTCATCCTCAGCCTCAAGATATATGGTTTGAACCATCCACACAAGGCCAGCTTCTTCCCCCTTTAGTATTGCCAATTCCCGCTTTTTCATTACTGTTTTTTGTTTTGTTTGGCTTGTTCCTTTCCTCCACTTTCCACTTTGGTGATACATTTTTTTCTTTTTCTCTAAAATAAAAACTTAAGGCTAAATAATAATGGTTTGGAGGCCAAAACTTTTTTTCCCTCTTCTCTGCTCTGTAAACTGTTTCAATGAGTGTTGTGTTGTATGAAATGATAAACTCATTTTTCAGATATTCTTGCAACACAAGAGATACTTAATTTCCTAGTTGATTTTTGTTTCCCAAGACAGGAAAAACTGTTGGAATAACTGCCTGGCCAAAAATTCATTGACTTGGTCATGTTTTACAAGTGGTGAGATCACTATGCCCTAAAGATAAGCAATAATCATGAATAGGGTACCCTCCCTAAGCAGGGTATGGCCCCAAGGCAGAGTTACCACCCTCCAAGAGGCTGTCTACAAAGACTCAGGGTCTGCTCCTCAGACCTGGCCTGAAGATCTCAGCAGCAGGGAGCAGAAGCCTTCCCTTGGAACTTAACCTGAAGCTAACACACAACTCAGTGTTATTTAGAGAACCCTCAAAATAGGATATTTGCCTGTAATCATGTGGTAATCTGTTTTACACTCTTCTGTTATGAATATAAAAATTCATGGTTGAGAAACTCAAGAGGAAGAGGTATAAATGATAGCATTTGAGCACTAAAGTCTTATCCAAACTTCTGATCATAGAGAACAAAAAAGGGTTATGGTGGGGTTAGATAGTGCACTGTGGGAGAATATCCTCGCAAGGGGCAGAGGAAGGAAGAAGGAAATCAGGGAAGACTCCCTGAAAGAGGGGCTATTTGAGCTGGGGTGTTATGATAAGAAATATAGGGTAAATTTGAATGCAAGAACCCAGAATAGCTAAATAAAAACATCATTTAAATTTTAAAGTGAACATATTAGGGGGTGATTAGAGGCACTAAGTCAGCCAGTGTCCAGCCTCTAGCTTTGAGGGTCTTGGGCAATATGGCCATGGATAGCTTCTGGACAGAGAGGGAAATGGTCATTAGGCTCTCCCACAGGTTTAGTGAATTCTCCATTCCCACTCCCATTTCTCTAATACCTTGTTTTTCTGATTTCATAATTTGCATGACAAAGTCAGTTTCTTGGCTACTTTGAATCTGCACAGGGTATGGCTGCATAGGGGAAACACACAGCCCAATCACTAGAAAAAGACAACCCCATTTGTACTGACAAAAAGAATGAACACTTAAAGGCACTATTTCCATATCTTCATTTACCACTTCCTTCAAAATTAAACTTCCTCCTTCCCCCTCCACTGAATTCATTCAAAGTGCTGCCCCTGAAAGCTCTATCCCACAATTATCCCACTAGCACCCACCAGATGGCTTCAGGATCTACATCTGGGGATAAGTGAGACTGACAGAAGAATGAACAGGGCAAGCTCAGGGAGAACAAATAAGAGGAGCGAAGAGATAATTGCAATAGGAAAAAAAATTCAGATAAGAGTTGAAGCTTCATGCAGGAGCAGGTTACAACCACAGCAGATAAATTAGGGATTTGTACACAGATTGCATGAGCTGCTGCCCCTGTGGGGTCACATCAACTGAATGCCCCTTCCCTGGTCCCCTCAGTGATATAAAGCCTTTCTTATAGCTGCAGGCACCAGCTGCCCATAAAATTGGATTCTACGACTACCTTCACTCCCTCTGTTTGTGCAAACTAATGTATAATATCTGACATTTTCTCTGATAGTCTCTCTTTTTTTTTTTAATAGAGGCATGTTTATTTATTTATTTGTTTTTTGTTTTGTTTTGTTTTGTTTATACATGTACTGGGTACAGTCAGAAGCGCGGGAGGGTGAGAGAATTCACCAGAGCCAGAGCGGGGAGCAGAGCAGGCAGAAGGACCGAAGTACACTGCTGAGGGGAGCAGCGGGCGGCAGGAGAGGTCTGCGCGCCATGTGGGACCCTCCTCCGGTGGCCGGGGAGCAGCCAGGGATCGAACCGGCGCCGCAGAGGCCGCGGGCAGCTTCACAACCCAGCGCTCAACCGCTGCGCCACCGGGGAGGCCCTGATAGGCTCTTATACTCAACGAGAATATAAATTCTGATGTGCCGTGTTTGAGTCACCCAATAGTGTGCTAGGTTGATGAAAACAGAATAAATATGTATTAGATACTTTCAGAAACAAAAGGGCTTTGCAATGTTTATTCTTTCCCAGAGTGATAGAGTCTATTTCTGCATGTCATACTCCCAGCACCCATTCTGTCTTCCTCCTGTTCACATGGGTGCCCAGCTAGAAATCTACCTTTTCCAGCCTCCCTTGCAGCTAGGTCATGTGAATTTGTTCTAACTATAGGAATGTGAGCAGCAGTGATGTGTGCAAGCTCAGGTAAATGTTTGTCTTGATTGTCCTCCATTTCTCCTTCTCTTAGGCTTGAACAAGAAAATGAAAGCAACCTGACTTCGACCACACAGACGTGGACAAAGTCTTAAAGGATGGTGAGACAAGGTGGGAAGGAACCTGGGTACCTGAATGACCTTCTAGAACAGAGTTGTCCTACCTGCTCAGACCAGTGATGAGAGAAAAATAAACAATCTTATTTAAGGTACTATATACTGGGGTTTCTGTTCCAGCATTTGAGCCTCTACCCAACAAATATACTTCCTCAAATCCGTTCTGTGCACTGTTCTTCATATAATAATTCTGATTTTCGAACTGGGCATATTACTTCCCAGCAAAACAGTTACATTTCCCTGTCTCCTTTTTCCCTTATGGTGATGACATGTAAACTTCTTCCCACCTACCCTTTCCCAATGTCTGGAGAGTGAATGTAATGGCTGGAGTTCAAGCAGCCATTTTGGACCCTGAAGTTACATGCTAAGAATTGTGAAGAAGCCAAAACCCAAGACCCAGTCTCTCTGTTGAGCAGGAGCCTCCAATACCCATTCTGTACTATCTACTTCTAAATTTCTTTACATGGCAGAAAAACGTCTATTTAAGCCATTAATGTTTGTTTGTGTATGCAGCTCAACACTAATCCTAAATAACAGATAATACTCAGCGTCATATTAGTTGCTGGGGCACACACCATTTCAACACCCAATTTGAATCTTGGAAACTCCTCTTAGCAGAACAAAACGGAAATCACTCTTTCCAACTAGCAGAACAGGCCAGTTTCCGTCCCTTCTGAACAGAATTAGTCTGGCTTTTGTGCTTACTGAAGCAGCTCTGCAGGGAGTTCTGTGGCTGACACCCCCCCCACCCCCCAAGTCTCAGGGCCCAGCAGGCCCCAACAATGGTGGCTCACGGTAGGGAACCATAGCATGTGCGGTGACAGAAGGTAAGTGGGGTGGAAGTGGAGACATGGGTGGAAGGGCTCTGTCAGCAGAGCAGGAGAGCAGGAGCAGAACGCTGAAAACTGCAAATGTAGGTCACTACATACCGGGGGTGGCGGGGGGGGGGGGGGGGGGGACATAACACATCTTTTCAAATTGGGATGTCTGCTTCCCACCAGCTGCCCTGACCTCGCACACCACAGGCTAGAAGGACCCCTAACCCCATTCCCATCCAGGTGGAGGCAAGATGCAGGCAGAGACCCGGGGGCTCCCGAGCTGGGCCCCGCCTGTCCGCACCCCGCAGGATTTGGCTGACCACCTCCCTCTCCCGGCTTGGGTCTCCCCAGGAAAGCCGGCAGCGCGTGGAAGGTGCTGACAGCGCTTCGGGCCCGTCTTCCAGGAGGAAGGGGGGCTGAGCAATACGCTCCCCATTCTGGTCTCGGCTGTGCTCGAGCCGTCTCGATTCTCACCCTCAGCAACCCACACCCCAGTCCCGCTCCCGTCGCCGCTTCGGCCCCCCAAGCCCCGAGTCTCCGCGCCCGCAGTCCCTCTACCTCCCGCGGCCTCACCCTCCTCGGACAGGTAGCGCAGGTCGTAGAACTCCCCGGCGAAGGTGCCGTAGGAGGAGTCGTGGCGCGGCACCGCTTCGTCTGCGCCCGCGTCCCCCCGCGCGCGGCCCCGGGGTCCCCGGCCCCCAGGGCCCGCGCCGTCGTCCGCGGGGCTGGCAGCGCAGGCGGCGGGCCCGGCGAGCAGCAGCCAGAGCAGCGGCGCCCAGGACCCCGGGCGCTGCCGGGGAGGCAGCACCATCGCTGCGCACGGATCCCGCAGCCAGGCCGCTCCGGCCGCAGCGGGGGCGCCGCGGGCGCGGGGCCGGGACTGCGCCGCCGCCGCCAGCACGCGCCGCCCGCAGCCCGCGCAGCCGCGGAGCCGCCCGCACCCCGGCTTCGGTCTGCGCATCCTCGCTCGGCCCCAAAGTGCCTCTGTTCCAGCCAGCAGCCTCGGCTCCCTGCGCGGGCGCCCCTTCCTAGCGGCTCCCCTTCCTAGCGGCTCCCCGTCCTCGTCCTTTCTTCCAGGGTCCCAACGCCGTGCCCCCTTCCGCCCTGCTTCGCCCTCCCCCCGGCCCCCACCGGGGAGTCGCCTACGGATGCAAATTTGATTCTTTTAGACCCTTGCTACTAAGAGTGCGTTTCGAGGGCCACCAGCAGCATCTGCATGCCCAGAGAGCTTGTTAGCAACACTAATCTCAGGTCCCAGTTTATTATTTTTTTAAAGATTTATTTATTTATGCATACAAGAACTGGGGTACAGGCCAGAGATGCGAGCAGTGAGAGGATTCACCAGAGACAGAGTGGGGAGCAGAACAGTCAGACTGACTGAAATGCACTGCTGAGGGGAACAGCCGGCGAATCAGGAGAGTCTGCTGCGCCATGTGGGTAGCCCCCTGGCCAACCGGGGAATCGAACTAGTGCTGCAGTGGCTGCGGCACAGCTTCATAGGTTGCGTCTTAACCCCTGTGCCACCAGGGAGGCCCCTCAGGTCCCACTTTACACCCATGTTCAGGATCTGCATGTTACCCAGGTCCCCAGGAGGCCCCAGTGCACGTCCGAATTTAAGAAGGGCTCCCCTGACACTGTCAGAATTGCTGCCTCCCCCACCCAGTTTCATCACTTCCGGGTTATAGAAAGCACTTACTGTACCTATTATTTCTTGGAGTCATCACTACATAGATAGGTAAACTGAAGTGCTTAGATTGAGGAGCTTAGCGCCAGAGGGAAACCAGAAATCAGCCCTTTAGACTGGATTCACCTGATTCCTCTCCAGATTTTTGAAGGGTGTAACCAGCAGAGGCTGTAGGTAACCTTGCATCACCTACCCCCTGCAAAGCTGGTGGTTGGTTTATTCTATTTCCCTGCAGCCAGCACAGCATAGACCTCAGAGCCACATGCCATGTATGATGGCCTTGGGTGTGCAATTCACTTTCATTTGTTTACTCAGCGACCCATTTATTCACATCAGGCACTTACTATGCATCCGGTCCTGGAGTTCTTTTTATTGATGGTTTGGCGTGATAACACAATCAACTGCTAAGCTGTTGTCCTTTAGAAAACATGGATGCAACTTCTTCTATGCTGACATCGCAGAGCCAGAATTTTAGCTGCCCTTTGTATTTCTTTTTATTTTATTGCAGAAAAAATAATTATGGAGGCAGAGAAGCATGGAGATTTCAGTATAGGCCCAGAAGTTGGACTGGCTGGAGGTCAGTAATGTCCATGATGGCAATTATGGTAGGATGGTCAGGTAGGATGTAGAAGGAAGATCAACAGCATTCACTGTATTAATGGCATGAATGAATACGCAAGATTATGAAATACAAATATCCCAAAGGAACTCAGTGATCACAAATTTTTTTTGACCCAGAGAAGAGAAGCAGGGTACTGCTGTCAAAATAGTGAGAAGTGCTAAAGGACCCAGCAGTCAAGTGTTGCTATTGGGTATCGTTTGATGCAGACAGTGGGTTTATCCTGACAGGTCAATGAAGTGGAAGGCATGAAAACCTTGAGCTACATTTGGTCTCCAAACAACTGTTATTGCAAGAATAGATCATATTTATTGCTTGAAAAAGATAAGATGACCTATAATCACAAAATCAGAGACTTCTTTTCAAAAAACATAGCTTTGCAATGCATAACGTTCTAATATACAAAAAATAATTGATTGAAAATCTGTTAAAGTAGTATCCTTAAAACCCTTCTTTGAATTGAAAAGCCTTTCTTTTCTTCTCTTCCTGCACAACCAGGGAAGATAAAGCCAGTTTAAAGTAGGCTAATGTTTAGCCCCAAAATAGCAAGTATTGGACTTTTGGTTTCAGTATTGATTCTGTGGCTCGGGAATCTAACCTGTTACCTATTACCGTCCTCTCATTTCTTTCATTTCCATTACTACAATTAAAAATGATGGGACCAGATAAAACATAAATACTTCTAGTAAATGGTTCTAATAAAACCATGTAAACTTTTCAAGTTTATTTTATTTTTGGCAGAGAATGAATGCACAGAGAGCGAGAGGGAGGCATGGAGGAACCTTTGAAACCAAATGAAGCAGGCAGATAATCTGTGCATTTCAATTACTTATGTATAATCAAGGACCTGGGGTCCATGATGGTCTTCAGGGGTGGTGCGAGGATCCTGTGAAAGTGCTGGAATAAATGTAGTGATGCGTGGGTTTTTCTAGAGAAGATACCCATTGCTTTTCCAGGTCTTTCAAACTCTGCATGCCTTTCCAGGGTTTTCAAATCCGCTTTAGTTTCCAATTCCCTAGTAACTTGGCATATTTTCATGAGGTTATCCCCCATCCATTTAAATTACCTCAGGAGATTTTCTTATTCTCTGTGTTTTCTTACAAGATTAAGCCCTAGAGGGAGACCTGCTCACATCCTCAGCACAAATTGCCTACATCCCAGGTTTTGCAGAGATCTTCTGCTTCATTCAGTAATGTGAATCACCGAGTGGCCAAGAAATACTCTGATTTTCTCCTTTGTGCACATCTAGGCAAGAAATTTCCCTGACCACTCTGTTCTACAGTGAAATAAGACCTGGCTTATTTCAAACGAGAATTTAGAGATTGAGCTGCATTTCCTTTTCATTTTTAAAAGAAAGACAGCACTTTTATTTTCTCTTCTCATCAAAGTGATTTTCATAAAACAACTTTTTTCTGTTATTAACTCCCACCCCCCAAATCAGTGCTATACCTGGTACCTGGCCAGTAACAGATTTGCCCAGACCTCTGTCTGCCTAACATGTGCTTTTCTGTTTACTTTTGACTACTTAAGAATAAAAACGGTGATCTTGGCAGCTTCTCAAAAAATTAAACGTAGACTTTCCATGTGATCCCTCTATTCCAACTTCATTTATACACCAAAGAAAATTGAAAAAATATGTTCACACAGAAACTTATACACAAATATTTATATTATTCATAATAGCCAAAAAGTGGAAGCAACCCAAATGTCTATCAGTTGGTAAATGAATGAACCAAACATGGACAATACAAACAATGGAATATTATTCAGCCATGAACAGGAATGAGATTCTGATACATGTTACAACATGGATGAATCTTGAAAACATTGCATTAAGTGAAAGAAGCTGGTCACAAAAGGACCACATGTTGTATGATTCCATTTATATGAAATGTCCAGAATAGACAAATCCATAGACAGAAATTCAGAGACAGAAAGTAGATTAGTGGTTACTGAGGGAACCACTAATAGGGGGAAGGAAGATTGGTAGTGGCTTTAGATATGGAGTTTCTTTTTGGAATGGATGAAATGTCCTGGAATTAGGTTTGGTAATATTACCCAACACTGGAATATACTGAAAACCACTGAATGATACACTTTAAAATGGCGAAAATGGTGAATTTTATTTAACTTTAAAAAAAAAAAATGTGATTTTTGAGCCGGTGAAGAAAAGATAAAGATGATATGAGAATATCCCTGTGCTATTTGGGGAACATAAAATTTGGGGTACATTCAGATTGGCTCTTCTGAATGTTGTAGGGCCTAGTTTTAAACTCTTCAAACAAAAGGCTCCCCTTTCAGTCTCCAGTCTGCAAACCCCCTGTGGTCAGGATTTCCAGGCCCCTTGCAGGGACCTCCATGCTCACCAGGACTCTGACCCACAGTTGGCAATCCTTGTTGTGGCTTATGTTACAAGCTGATCCCCCAGCCCACAATAATGTGTGTGTTGTGTGACCTTATGGGGCTTTTGTTTTGGTTTTAAGTATATAAAAAAAGGTGAAGTAATTGTACCAAATAATTTTTGTCCTTGTGAACGCACCCCACACAATGTCATTTTTTCAGGTCACCATGCCAAGCATCCATCAGACATTTAAGCAGGCAAATAACCAGGACAACTGCCAAAACCATGGAATCCTCTTGATTTTACTGGTTAGAGTAGAGCTGCCAAAGGTACTGGGTTTTCACATACAGTAACAGCCAGACTGTAATCAGACTTCCAGTGACATCAACCTTCTAAAATATCTGTGAACCCAGAGGGAAGTGGGGAAGAAGCAGGGGGCTCAGCGCCCCCTGAAAACAGCGGCCAAAAGCCCATGCACCCTCCTAAGAAGCAAAGTCAACCTGACACGTATGGAACACTGTGTTTCCTGGCTTCCCCAAGAAAAACTTCAGTTTTGCCCACCAGAGAGCAGGAAGTGGGAGCAGAAGAGTCAGGAAGCAGGTTGGAGGAGGAGGCGAGTGGAGGGTTGACAAAAGGCGACAGCCCTGACACAGATATCACCTCCAAATTGTACAGGAACACACTTTGTATCATGTGCACGAGATTAAGAACAGCTAGAGTTGACTTACAAGTACAGGCAGGGGTCATGGAGCATGGGGGTAAAAGGTCCCAAATGCCACGACTGCCCTAAGATGGCTTCACCAACGGCAGACGGCAGTAAAAGCCATCAGTGAGAAGAGCATACTGGTCCGTGAGAGGCAAAGCCAAGCCCCACATATTTTGAAAGCTCCTGATGACATCACTGCACCACACCAAGGTACAAAAGGGACTGATGTTCATAATGATGACCGTGACTCATTAAGAAAAGGTTAAATACTCTCCAGAATACTCTGTTTACTAAGGCAGGGAAGTGTGTAATACATTTTAGAAAGATTTCCCTCAAAAAATATTAAAATTTTAAAGATTCAGCACTTAAAGGGTTAATCCTCTGTTATCTGAATATTTGCTTACCTGCCTCATTTCACAACAATGCTAGTAAATGAGGCATTACTTTTTTTAATAATCATTAGTATCAAATTATTGGCACCATTCAGTTTTAAGGATAGGGACAGGAGAGCAAACTATACAATACAACATAAAAATACAGTTCTGATACAAATATACGTGATCAATTCCACTTAACAAGTGGTCATAAGAAATGGATGGACATTGTACACACAAAGGAATACAGCTAGTAAATCATCACAATGGAAAAGTGCTCAGCCTTGCTAGTAACTGATGAAGTAAAACAACCTTTCAAGAACAACTATACACATCTATCAAACTAGCGAAAATAAATAAAATGGCAAAACCCAACACTGGCAGAGCTGTTGGTAAATAGAAATGCTTATACATTGCTGGTGGCATCATAAATTGTGGAGGGGATTCAAGCATTCAGAGGGCATAGGGGGTTGAACTAAATGACCTTTAAGGTCCTTCCAACCCAGAGATTGGATCTTTCTAGAAAGCAATCTGACAATATGAAACAAGAGCTATAAAATAGTTCATGCTCTTTGACCTTGTAATCCTTCATTGGAGATATTCCAAAGGGAAAAGTCCAAATGAAGGATCAATATTTTTTGTTTTTGTTTTTACAAAGACATTCATAGCAGCACTATTTATAAGAGTGAAAACTTGGATATAATGCAAATGTTTTATAATGGGAAGAAGTGAGGTTAATCGAGTTACATGGATACAAAGACATTTAAAGTGGTGAGTGTAGGATCTGTGCTGATCAGAGGGGATATGTGTTAGATGTAGAACAACCAGATGGCCAGAGCTACATAAAAAGGCGGGTGGGGGGTATATTGAGAAAGCTTGGGAAACAATTTAAAGGGACAGTGTATGGTTAGGGGGTTTCTTTATTCCTGCAAAGTTGTTCAAATGCATAATAAAAATCTAAAAACACATTTCTTGAAACAATATAAAAAGAGAGCAAAGTTTCTTCTGGTCAAGGTTCTATCAACAGGACATGAATTGATCAACTTTAGAAATAGTTTTCCTTATGGGACACCCAAACGAATCTTGATATTGAATCCTTTCAACCTTGGAAGGGTGTTTTAGACAATTGAAGCCATACTTTGAGTTCAACGATGAATTTTGTTTATCCCAAATAAAATTGTATCTAACAAATTCACAAGATAAATTATATTTCAAGTGAAGCTGAAGTACTTTCAGTCCTGGTGATTACAACTTTCTTTTTTAGTTCACTACTCATGTTTGAATAAAAATGAATGTTAAGGACATTTTAAGATCTGTGTATTTACCAGTGTAAATGAAAAAAAAAATCAACAGTAAGGAATTATTCTCTCATTAAAAATGACTCTTTAACAAACAAAGCTTGGTGCTAGTTTCCATCATACAAAATCGTGGTTGTGATTGATAGTAAAGGATTCCATGCCATGTTAATCCCTGTGGTTACTGATATATACACACACAGGTACTTCTGAAAAGGAATCCCCATTTCCCCATATTCTTCTCCTAGGCTTATCAAATTCTGTCTCAACTACAATGAGTAGTAGAAAAACTCTAATACTCAGGAGACATAAAGTAACGTTTCCAATACAAGTCAAGCCACAAGTTGGCTTCAACTAACCATGGAGACCGGGCAAACAGAGCACACGCATTGTATGTTGTGCTAGAGTGAGCACACAAAGCCCGAAGAAAGAAAACGGACAGAAGGCACCGTGCCATCCTCCAGGCAACGAGGGAAGAATTTCACAGTTCGGTCATCAACAGTCTTTTCATCATTTTCTCTCTCTCTAGTTCTTGCCGGAGCGTCTCTGCACTGAAAAAGAGGAGGTAACAGAAGGGTGAGATAACTCCCCCCAAGATTATTAGAGGAGATTCAGCTAAAGTTTATCTCCTAGATCTATCCTCTGCCCTCCCTCCCTCTCTCCTTTTCTCTCTCCCTTCTTTTTTTCCCATTGAAGAATTTCAAGAGTTTGAGCAAAAAATGGACTCAAATTGGGCATTACCAAGCCAGAATTGGTTAGGAACATTCTGACCCAGATTCTTTCTTGATCTCAGTTCCTGACTTTCCCTTTCAGGCTCCTAAGGACCCCTGGTGTTTGCTAGCATTATGGCAACTTGAAATTTTCTGACTCCCTATGGCTTTCTTCCATCAGACAGAGTTCCTCAAGGGTCCACTCATCAGCGAACTGACTATACGTGTCATTCATGTCTGAAACCCCAAAGGACAGCACAGGGTCTGGCACACAGCAACCACTCAGCAGAAGTCTTTTGAATGAATGGGAAGATGTCCAGTGGCTAGAGTTCTTTAAAACATATTGCACTTTCACCCAGAGTTCCCCTCCACGCTTCAATACACAAAACTGAGTGAAGTAAAATTGGCTGCTTTGAGAGGTTACCTCTGACTTTTGGTCCTCAGCTTCAGTTGCCTACCAATAGAACCTGTCTCTACTGTATAAACACGCACACACACACACAGAGGAAGTACACATCTTCTAAGATATAACCGAGTATTATTAAGCCAATTATTTTTAAATAATTGCATTCGAGGTAGAAATAAAAATTTTCTGCTATGGCCAACAAGGTCCTACACAATCTGGCCCCTACACGCTCCACCTCAGAAGCCTTGGCACTGGCTGTGCCAAGCTTGCCCCCTTATCACCTCAGGTCTCTGCTTAAATGCTCTCAAGAAGAGACCATTCCAGCATGACCTACTACACTTCACCTTGGTGTTCTTCTCCCTGCCAGGACCTGCTGATCACTCACCTGGCTGCCAGAGAAACAGGCTTCCGGGTGGTGTAGATGGTCTGCACTGTGGAGCTGGTCTCTGTCAAAGGCCTCAGGGTCGCTGTTGGAATGAGCGGGGAAGACTGGCCAGGACAGCACTGTGATTTACTGTCTCTAAAATCTGCCTGGAGAGGAAACAGAAAAGAGGAAATCAATCTCAATTTGGACTCCATTTTCACACAGTCAGCTGCTCCCTATGCTTTAACAAATAGTTTCTATTTTTTAATAGTAGCTAAAATCAATTCCCATTTATTAAATGATATCACATTGTGTTAGATACTATGCTGAGCATTTTACATTCATTACCTCCTACCAATCCTCTGAGACAGAGGTTATATTTCATTATATCTTAAACCCCATCAATTGTAAGGTGTGCCATTTTTGCCTGCACCACAGAGAAAGAAAAATGCGAATATTTGTGAATATTCATACTTTGTCACGCTTACTACTGTAATGAACATTCTGATGTCAGAGATGCTAAAAGGTGGGGAAAAAATGCATCTCTCAGAACTGATTTTATGAAAAATCAAAGTGAGGCACAGAGAGGTTAAGTAATCTCCCAAGCCACAGAGTTAGTAAGGGTTAAGAACAAGTATTTGGAACCGGCATTTAGCTGACCCCATAACTGGCATTTTTTTATCACCATAGCCGAGGTTTCCAAAGTATGGTCCCCGGACCAGTAGCATCAGAACTATCTTGAAACTTGGTGAAAATGCAAATTCTCAGCCCCATCTAAGGTCCGAGAATGGGGATGAAGTCCAGCAATCGGTGCTTTAACAAGACCTCTGGATGATTCTGACACATGGTAAAGTTTGACAATTACACTCAGTACATTGCCTGATTTGGACAGGATATATTTGTTGTTTTCTTTATAAAGCATGCTATGCTTATTTTTATAGAAAACATATCGAATATTGGGGCCTCCTTGGTGGCGCGAGGGGTTAAGACACAGCAATACGAAGCTATCCACAGCCACTGCAGCAAGAGTTCGATCCCTGGCCTGGGAGGTGACACACATGGTGCAGCAGACCTCTCCTGACTCGCCTGCTGCTCCCCTCATTAGTATATTTCAGTCAATCTGCCTGTTCTGTTCCCCACTCTGTCTCCGGTGAATCCTCTCACCCCCCCCCCCACACACACCTCTGGCTTGTACCCCAGTTCTTGTATGCATAAATATATAAATCTTTAAAAAAAAAAAAAGAAAACATACAGAAAACTTAGAAGGTGTATAGAAGTAGATAAATGATGAATCCCCATAATCCCTTACTGTTGGTATTCATGTATTTGCTCATAGTATTTTTTCAATGTATACTTTTAGTTTGGTCAATATCCTTTGACTAATACTAGCTATATATTGAAAATGTGATTTGTCATACAAGTTCCCAGCCCTAAACTCTGGGAAACTGATCACATGGTATAATGAAGAGACTTTGATCATCAAATGAGCAAAGTGATGAGTCCTCTCTCCTAGGAAAACATGGAAAACCACTGAAAATACCATGTTGAGTTGTGATTCTAAAGGGTGTGGTTCTAAAGTTGTGGTTCTGCCTTGAACAACAGAGAGAGGTTTATCCTTTGATGGGTCCTGAAGCTACTGGTGAGAAATACAAACCTGTTTGTTTTACACCTGCTTCCAGAGGGAGAACTGACCTGGCCTGGGATGGAGCAATGTCAAAGAAATTGACCCTGAGAACAGGAGTCTCATACACTTGTCTAGCACGTGCTGTCTGCCACAGAGAACTTTCATGGTGTTGGCTGCCAGAGTCACCTGTGTGGCTCACCAAGCACCTGGGCTCACCACTCTCCAGTCACATAGTAGGACTGCATTTTCCACCCCTCTGAAGCTAGGCATGACCATGGATTTGCTCTGGCCAAGGAAACGTGGGCAGAGGTACCATGTTTCATTTCCTTTGAAAGATCTAAGAACCAGCATGTGATTTATCACCTTTTCCTCTTTCCCTCTAACACTGTGACTAGGAACATTCCAAATGGCAGCTGCTCCATTAGACAAGGTCCCGGAAAGAGGCCAGCACACAGCAAAGTCCTCAGACCACCCACGACAAACATGCAGATGGGTAGGAAATTCAACCTGTCATTTTAAAGCATGACTTAGTCCATCCTTCTGGAAACAAGAACTGGGGTAAAAAAAATTATTTTATTGCTTCAGTGACACGGGTGGAGGTTGGGCTTTTGATGCCACTTTTGATAGAAAAAGAGGGAAATTCACACTGATCCTACAAAATCAGTGGTGGGTAAAATTGCCAATTTAGCAGGGAGCTAGGTAGTAGCAACAAACCACACAGCAGTCATGGTATATTTCACTACCATGCACTCGGAGTAACAGTGAAAATTATTAAGATCATTAAATCTCAACTCTGAGTACTCATCTTTCAATTAGGACGCTGTTAGTAACTCCCTAATTATTATCTCCAATCTAGTCCTCTCTCCTGATATTCACCTGATATCCTCTCTCCTGGATATTCACCTGCCTTTTCTTTGTTTCCACCTTTTCTTTGAAATATTTCAAAGGCATGTCTAATGCATCACGGCTAAAGGCAAACTCATTCTCTCTCCCAGTCCATCTTCTTGCAGGTTTCCTCATCTTTGTCCGCATTCCGTGAGTCAGAATTCTGGAGTCATTTTCGATCTTTCTTTCCCTCATCTAACTCAATTTCTTATCAACCTCCTAATTATCTCCCCATCTGTGCACGTCTCTCCACCTCCACCATCGAAAACACTGAGTCAAGCTCTCTGCCCTCTCTTCCTTGAATTATTGTCCTAAATTCCTAGACTATTGTCCAGAATCCACTCTGCCTAGACCAACTCTTCTCCCATTGCAACCTCAGGATTATTCCACTGTCACTACCCTGCTTGGTGTCCTTCAAAGACTTGCCATTACTCTTAGTTACAGATCAGAGTGCTTACTGCAGCCGACAAAGTTCGAGCAAGGTTTTACCCTTTGGAGTTTGTCCTTGCCTTCCTCCCCTACCGCCCCTGATGCCCCACGCCATTCCTCCCTGCATTCTAGCCCCACTGGCCTTCTTTTCAGTCCCTTGAATGTGGGATGGTCCCTCCTGCCCCAGGACTCTGGTTCACGCTGTTCCCTCTTCCTGCTCCAGCTGCCTTCCAGTCACTCTTGCCCAGATTTTAAAACACCCAGCATGGTTCCTGACATTGGCTTCCTGCTCCATCCTGGCCCCCAGCTTTTCAGGAAGGGCTTCCCTGGGTGTCTCACGGCACTGCCAAGGCTGGGCAGGAGGCCAGAGTGCCCGCCATAGCCAGCTGAGGCAAGCGGAGCAGGAGCTTCCAGCTGGGGAACTGTGTCTAGTAAAACTGCAGGGCCAGATGAAGGTTGGGGCAGCAGCCTTGACCAACCTGGCCCAGCGCCCTTGTCTCCGTCCTCCAGCTCTGAAAGGGCAAGTCCTGAGCAGCTCAAGAACCTAGAAGTGGACTGTTCCAGGCACCTGTTTTTACCTCTGCATCAGACACTGCTTCCTCCTTCCCTCCTTCTCCATGTGGCTGAAGGCACATGTGGTGATGGTCACCATCCAGCTCATAAGAATGTACTTTGCGTCACCCCTGGGCCCCCTCACAGCCCACTCATGGATCCTCCGGACTGGTCAGGCGCATTTGGAAGGCGCCTTAGGGATCATTTGGTTGCAGGAACAGCAAACTGATTCCTGGGAGGAAGAGGAACTGACGGAATGGAGGAGGGGACCCTGGACTCCCCACTTCTGCTCCATACAGCAGCCTATTCCAGAGTGAGCTGCTCAGACACTTTCATTTAGAGAGCTGAGTGGATGAAAAGAAGCCTAAAAATCCTCAGACTCTCTTATTTTGCAGATGAAGAAACTACAGGATTTAAATGTTAACAAACCTGTGAACATTTCTGTAGAGTTTAAATAAGTTGCCTAGTGACACAGAGAGGTGGTAACACAAAACTGGTTGTCATGACTACCTGCTCCTGTTAATTACACCACCCTGCCTCTACAGCCTTGAGAAACAACAGTCACAGCTGGCATCTGTGGGATGGTCTGTGGTTGGTCAAGTACTATTAAGTTCTTGAACCCTTGTGATCCTTGCCTCCACCAGATACGAGGATATGCATATGGCTATTTCCACTTTCAACAGGAGGAGACCGGCTGCCCAGCAAGGTACAGTGACTCACCTAAGATCTCACCATAATCAAGACAGAGCCAACCTCGAGAGAACTGAAAACATGGATTCAAATTCATGGATTGTATGTTCACAGCAACGTTATTTGCAATAGCCAGAAGGTGAAAATGACTCAGATACCTTCAATGAAGGATTAGATCAACAAACCGTGGTATTTACATACAAGGGAATATTATCCCAGCAAAAAAGAGTCATGGCATGTGCTACAGCAGGCATGAACCTCAAAAAGAATCTCAAAGACATGTTACGTGAAAAAAAGCCAGACACAAAATGTCACGTATCCCATGAATCCATTTGTACGAAATAGCCACACTAGGCGAATGGAGAGAGACAGGACGCGGACTGGCAGTTGGCAGGGGCTGGAAGGAAGGGGGAATGGGGAGCAACTTTTATCAGGCATGGGTTCTCCCCTGAGGGTGCCAAAAATGTTTGGAACTAGACAGAGATTATAGCTGGAAGGCTGTAAATGTATTAAATGTCACTGAATAGTCCCTTACAATGTTTCATTGTATGTGTGTGAAGCTGACCTCGATGAAATAAAATCACCAAAACATGCAGACCCCCAAACCACAGCTCCTTCCCAACCCCACAGCGATCAAAAGCAGCTGTGGGTGTTTCTGTCTGGCATTCCACAGAAAGGCAGGCCACAGGGGAACAATGTTTGAAAACACAGATCTGTTTTTTAGGTCTACTTACAGTAAACTGTGGCCCTGTAATGAAAGGATCAGGAAACGGGGGCACTGCATCAGCTGGGAATGTTTTTATCTTCAAAAAAGAGAAAGACAAGAGTGTTACTTTCAGATCAGAAAACAAAGTTTTGAAATCTCTGGCAGTGCACTTTTAAAACCAGGCTGAAGGATTCGGGGGAACGTACGTAGAAGCTTCAGTGCTGGTGGAAAGAAACATACAAAGGGTTCTCAGGAGCGCTGCTGCCTGGCTGTACCTGCGCCCGATACTGTCCCGTGGAGCCCGTTGTCAGCAGGGACAACAGGCTGCGTCTCGTGTTTGGGAGGCACCCCATGCCTTACTCCCTCCACGGCGGTCAGCTTGGACTGCCCGGGCACGCTGGGCCCTACATCCTTGATCCACAGAAGGCCATGATTGGGGTGTATAACAAGGCAGGCCAGGGCTGCCTGCTGATGGTTGCTCCCCAGGTGTGGGGCATGGGGTACACACTGCTGAGGGGCCACATTCTGAGATGTTGTCTATCACAGTGGCCAGAGCACCCAGCAGCTGGACTCATCAGGCCAGAAGCATTCGCTGCCCATACACTTCAATTAGTGGACTCTGGGTAAACTCTGGGCAGCAGAGGGGAAACCCGGGTAGGCATGTGAGAATCCTGCCACTGTGGCCTTTGGTGATTGAAGTGCCAGGGCTGGGGGTGGCTGCGGCACAGGGCGGTGTGATGGGGGTGGATACAGTGTGATTGGGTAGTGGTGTATGGCCAAAGAGTTCTTTCTCTTTGTCATTTTGTCTTTGGTCTCTTGGAGGCCTTAGAGAATGGGAGGGGAGGTGCTTATTTCTCTAGCCAGCCTAAAGGACTACCAGCAGGCCCAGGGGCTGAGGACTCTGTCTGCAACCCTTGGGGCACAGGAATTATCTGCACCCCTGCCTGTGAACGTACTGTGCTGTCTGCCACGAGAGGGCTGCAGCCAAGGCACTGAGGCTACCAGGGCCCACCCACAGCAGCCTTTGTGTCTCCTGGGATCTTGCCTAGAGCCCAGGGACCCCACGCCTACAGGGGCTCCTGAGGTTTCCCTCTATTGCTCAGAGTTAACCAGGAGTCCACGAGCTAAAGTGAATAGACAGGGAATGCTTTCTGGGCTAGTGAGTCCAGGCCCCCAGGACTCTCGTTGCTGTAATCACAGTGGCCAGAATGTGAACCAGGGATAGGCCCTCGATATCCTCGAGTCTAATGGAGGCTAAGGTAGGGAAGAGCAAGAACACATCAAGCCAGACTCTATAATCTGCTAAGGTTTTCTGAGCGGGTGGTGCAGATCTGGACCAATCTGAGAATGGCAATGACCTTGCCCGTGTGCTCTGAGATGTCCAGGCCAAGCCTACTCCCCTCCCCCAAACTCTTATTGGTCTCTAAACATCTCAAAATGCAAAAATGAGACCCAAATTGCCTTCAGACTGAGGTACAGGGAGAGGACTCAGGGTGAGCCAAGCGGTACCTTCTCCTCCATGGCCTAATGGGTCAACATGGTGTTCTGAGACCCACAGCAACATAGGAAGAAACGTACAGAAGAAACTCTCAGACCATCATGAAGTAGAAGGAAAAAAGAGGGTTATTATGGCTATTAAAGAAGCATACAGTTGGCAACTTCAGAGAATTATTTAGACCCACTCTCTATAATGAAATATATTCCGAACAGTTACACTGTTTGCTCAGCTGTGACAAAATGTATTATATCTCCTGAGGACACCGTAAGGTGGCATAAGGGAACAAAAGCCAATGTCACAATATTGAACCCAGCCTAAGGAAATGAAATACCTGACACCCAAGCTAATGTGTTCTCACAAATAGTGAGTGATGAGCTGGAGACAAAATGCACATCCGGCAGTAAAGAATCTGCTAGGTGAACGGTGGACCTTTAATTTGGTGCAATATACACAGTCATGTAGAATGTTATAACAAGATAGCAACACAACCTTTAGTGAAAAGAGAAAAACAGGAAATGATATGGACACCGACTTAATTGTGTAAAATAATGGGCGACTGTGAATAAATATAAGAAGGAACCATGCAAAAATGCAAAAAAAAAAAAAAAAAGTGCCAAGTTGGGAAAATGGGTGACTCCTTTTAAGTCGTAAAGCTCATACTGTTATCTTGATAAACAGCAGGAAAAGCCAAGTTTTAAAGTTTTTTATTTCAATGGAATTGCAACTAAGATTCTTCTCTCTGCAAAAGCATCTAGTTCATCCAAGCTCTAGGAAAACAAACCCTCCCTGAACGTGAGACCTAGAGACAAGACCTAGACATCCAGGGGGCCCGGGGGGGACCACACTTGTGTGTCCCAGTGTGACCGGAGCTGGCTGGTCTCCAAATTCTGCATCATCCTGGAGTGAGAGCACCTGTGAGCACGGCTCCTGCGGAGGTCTGGGGCTTTCACCCCCGTGGGGCCGTTGCTTGGTGGCTGCTGCCCGCCTCACCTCTCCTGGCCAGGCCCCTCTCCCTGCCAGGGTACCTACCAGCCTTGTTTTGATTGGAGGGTGCATGCAAACTCCAGTGGTCTCTTCCTTCATGGGGAGAGAGAGTGGAGGAGAACAGCGAGAGTGGGCACAGTAGGGGGCGCTGGCGGGCTCTGCCTGCTCACGAGGAGAGGAGAGAAGGGGAGGAGGATGGTGAGAGGGGGAGGAGGAAGAAGAGATAAGGGAGGGGAAGGAGAGAAAGATAGCACAGTGCAAGACGGATCTGTCATCAACTCCAGACTGCTCACCCGCAGCCTACTTCCAGCCTCCGGAACTGCGTGAGCCCCTCCCGCCTCCCTCCTCTCAGCCTCTCTCCAGCCCTCGTCTGTCTTCTCCACTATCTGAGCACAACGACCCATCAAAACCCCATTCTCGGGGCTGGCACGTAGGGGCATCTGCTGTGCCAACTGCACGGGACTGGCAGTGGTTTCCTGGCATGCTGTTGAGGATTCAAAAGCGTTGGCCAAGCCAGAAGAGAATCACGATGAGTTAGTGATGGTCATGGAAGCAATGTGGGGAGTGGCCACACTCTTGAGTGCCCTCCATGCCTAGGGCCCTCCTGTACTCTGCCAAAGGAAGGGCCCACATCATGGTGTACAGGTGAGTCACATCCCACAGAATGTTCAGGGAAAATGATGTGTCAGCAAGAAGGAGCAGACTTTAGGATTTGATCTGCCATGGTGCTTTGTTATTAGTGGTCAGAAAACATGCTGCCCTGCCCTGCCCATGAATCTTGGGGTCACCTACTGGCGTGGGGTCCTTGCTGCTTAGCTGGAAGATACCAAATGCTGGAAGAAAATGTCAGGGAACATGGGTTACCAGGTCCCCCTCCCCAACCCTAAACAGTGCCAAGCTCCTGGCCGAGGTCCAATGGCCTGTGCCAGTGGGGATGAGGATGGCACAGAGAGAAAGCTCTGATGTTAGGTGGGGCCACTGACAGGGTTAGTTGGAGTTTCAGGGGGACCATTTGCTCTAGAGAATAGATACACACATCTTTTAGTTCAAGGCTTTCCTTCAATAGCCGGTATCATCCTGCCATAACCACGAAAGCACAGCCTCTGGGCAAGTTTCATTGAAAAATGATTAAGAAAATTGCAGGCCTCTTTTCCATCTCCAAATTGATCTAACTTCAGCCTCTTTACCATTGTGCAGTCCTGGGTAATTTCCAAGGGGTTTTTATAACCGTATGGTCTTCACAATAGCCGTGTTCGACTATTTAAATTTGGAAGGAGCACAAAGTGCATTTGCAAAATCTAAATTCACAATTCTAGATCCTCTTGTTGGCTGTTTCTAAATCCATTCTTCAGAAACAAGTGAGTCCATTTAGTTACCTGAAGTTAAGTTTTACCAACCTTCTTAAAAATCCCTCCTCTGCTCTCCTTGGTCTCCAGCATAAATCCCACGCTCTATAATTACGGCATCCAAGGTCTGCGTGAAGCTGGCTCCTGCCTGTCACCAGGCTCAGTTCTCACAACTGCCCCAGTGCATGAATCCTCCAGGTTCCTGCATCAGAGACCGCTAGCCCACAGATAACAGCAGGCTTGTGTGCTTGTTGATGAAAATGAAACCCGGCACAAACATGACCAAGACATGTGGGTACACATGTACATGTGTGCCAAATGTGGCCAAAGTATGCGCAAGTCACCTGTGTCTTAGTTGAAGATGATAATGAATGATGTAAGACTTTTCCCATCATTAAACTCTTATGGTAAAGAAATGATCCATCCCACAAGCATTTCTGACTGTTCTAAATGTGCATCTGAGGAGATTATTTATTTATTTATTTATTTGTTTGTTTGTTTGTTTGTTTGTTCTGTTTATACATGCACTGGGTACAGTCAGAAGCGCGGGAGGGTGAGAGAATTCACCAGAGCCAGAGCGGGGAGCAGAGCAGGCAGAAGGACCGAAGTACACTGCTGAGGGGAGCAGCGGGCGGCAGGAGAGGTCTGCGCGCCACGTGGGACCCTCCTCTGGTGGCCGGGGAGCAGCCGGGGATCGAACCGGCGCTGCAGAGGCTGTGGGCAGCTTCGCAACCCAGCGCTCAACCGCTGCGCCACCGGGGAGGCCCAGGGGAGATTTTTTTTTTTAAAAAAAAAGAACGTTTTTCACTCTCAAAACTTAATAATTGAACAGGAATTAACACACTAGGATACTATTTTGAAATTGCATTTTATTTCTTTCTTCCGCGATTTCCTTTCCTCCTTGGGTTTTTTCCACATGTAGGCAACTTAGGTTCTACTTTTGTGTTTTGAACTATGAGTCCTTGGAACACAAAAAGACTTTGGCATAAATAAATGATGATGAAATGTGTAAGATATTTTCATCACACAGATAAGAGGAGGGAGTACCAGCTTGAGGATGGGGGAGAAAAGTCAGATGGAGTGGGAGGAGGAGGGGTAGAGACTAGGGAACAAGGTGCAAAGGGTCCTGGTGTCCCTTTCCATGGACTGAGGCTGGAGACTAGGGATTAAAGAGCAGAGAGGACCTGTGCCCCGCTCCTCAGGTGGACCTGGGGAGGTGTTAGTTCCCAGGGCAGAGGGCTCTGTGGTGTGTCCAGCAGATGGGGACTCACATCCCTGCAGGACAGTGATATCTTCCCACCCACAGGGCATGGGAGAAACGGAGACTGCCCCAGACATACCAGCAAGAAGATGACATCACAAACTAGGCCCACTTCCCTCCATCTCCCAGGGCCCAGAGAACGTGGATCAAACCCCAGGAAGGTGGAAAAGGCATCCTGATTTGATCTGTGATCAAGCATTAGCCCTCCTGATAACACAACGTTCAAAATAAGAACCAATTGGGAAAACCAATTCTTCTGACACCCAGCCCAAGCCATGTTCTGTGCCCTGCACCACCTGCCTTTGGCCAGACCATTCTCCTCCCTGACACACGGACTCCTGACCAGCACTGCTGTGTGGCTAGGTGAGTGGTTCATGAAGAATGGGGGCCAGAGAAGGACAAGCCCCAAAAAGGAAAGGCTGAGGGTCAGGGAAGACATAGGCATTGATGGTCTGTGTGCTCGAGGAGGGCAGCTGCATGACTGACCTGGAGTGGGGTGCAGACTGTGTTTCCAGATAGGGTCAGCTTCCAACTTTCCTCTCCTGATCAATGTCAACTCCTCACCCACTGCACATGCTCACTCATACCCAAGACAGACTACCAAGTGCAGCGTGAGTGCTGCCTTCCCTCACTTGTCTTCTTCCCTTGCCACCCTCATGACCCAGGTCTCCATCTCAAGCAGCAATGCGGAGCTGGTGATGGTCTCTGATGCAGATTCTGGGAATGGCTAACACCAAGCTGCAGGATTGTAGGACTCAATGCCACATCGAGCTACATAATTAATGAGCTGAGGATTAGAGAAGACAAGACTTGGAAAAGCAGAGGAAAAATGCTACAAGAATGAAGCTGGAAAGAATGTCTTTGCAGAGAGTTTGAGGATGGGAGTATCTGGAGTACTGCAAGGTGCAGAGAATTAAGGAGCAAAGGAAGAGTCAAGAAGGGTTGGCAGAGGTGTTAATTATTTTTCATGATTTTTGAGAAAGGCCAGTTAAAGATTGAGTATTTTTATTATTCTCGACTGTTTGGACTATGCTTCTTTGTAAACCACTCCACACAGAGACTAGATCATAAGATTAAGAGTCCTAAGGGGTAAGCCAGCTCTGACAGTGTGGGGTGGAATGCAGCTGAAGGAAGGCGAGGCAGCCTGGCCCACTCTTATCTCTCCAGCTCCCTGACCTCCCAGTTCTGACAAGGGCATCCATGATGCAGTCCAGTGAGACTGGACCCTCAGTCCAGTCTCTCCTTAGCTCCGAGACACAGATGCCACATCTCTCAACCACCCCAACAGTAAGCAGAGCTCAGCTGCTTGCATTTCTATGCCACTGGGAGGAGCAGATGGTGAAGACTAGCAAAAGGACAAGCAGGCTAGGTGAGTCCTTCCTCTTCTCCAGGACCCACAAGTCAGCACACTGAAGTAAAGTAAGGTCAAAGCCAACAGTGCTGAGGAAAGCCCAAAAGGAGCAGGCTCTGGCCTGAACTCCAGGATGCCTGCATGCCTTCTGGATGCACTGACTCCTCAGACTCACCCAGCGAGACAAAGGGTGCTTCATCCTGAGAACACCTATTCACTGCAGACTGCACAAATGACATCAGCAGCTGTGTCTTGGGGAAGTACAAGGACCACAGTTGCCCTGTGCCTGGATGGTGCAGCATCCTGGGCCCAGTTTCAGAGCTAAGTGAGAGCGACCCAGAGAGGTAAACAGGGTGTCTGGGGGAGAGGGAATGAGCTCTGTGTGGCTGAGGGAGTGCAAGGAGAGGCTGGAGAGTCACTTGGCAGGCACTTGCACTCAGGTCAGGGGACCTCTCTGTCCCTGCCAGATGCTGCTTCCTTTCTAATTGCAGTCTGTTATGTTCAAATAAAGAAAATATGGGGTAATTAAATCCACAAGCTGGGCTCACAACACAAGTGAATCCCACCACTCTTGTCCATGCTACAAAGTACTTTTTTGATAAGGATCCTGGTTTTTAGAGGTCCTTTGGGCCCTCTAAGAAATAGCACCTTGCTCATGCTGTACCCTCTACAGAATGTTTTGTTCCAGTTCCTCCACCTGGAAAACTCCTACTTATACTTTAAAACCCTGTGTCATGAAGCCCAGTGCCCCCAGACAGGTTTGGTGCTGCAGCAGCAGTTTATACAGACTCTAGTGTGGCTTTTACTGCAGGATATTTTAGCAGCCTGGAAGTTGCTCAAGAAGTTAACTCAGAGAGATCATTTTCCCCACTGGCTTCTAATCCTGCCAGGCACGTTTTCTTTAACCTGAGTCTAGGAACTTAGGCTCTCAGATTGTAGCCTAGGGCTTCCCAGGTCCCTCTGGGGGATACTGCCCTCCAGCTGGACTAGATGTCCTCTGGTCGCTGCCCAGGATTCCATTTCCCACAGTGTGACCTTCCTAGGATGTAAGGCCTCAGCCGGGAAACTGAGGTAGCACTAGGCCCAGGTTACCTTCCTCTTTCTGGCCCTTCCTCTATTGACCTTATTGAACTTTACCAGTTGGAGAAGGGCTTCAAACAGTCCTTTCCAGGCATTGCTCTTCTCCAGAGTGGTAAGATTCCTAAAGAGGAGGCCATTCAGTGCAATCTAGTGTAAAGCGTCATGGAGGAGCCTGGACACCTGGTTGTGCTCTGGTTCAGCCCTAGTGGTCACCCCACTCTGGGACGTGGTTTTCCTATGTGTGTGAAGATGCAAGTTGATGGGGAAGGCCCTCTGTTTCTGGGATACCCTATTTGAAGGGCAAGGGAGAAGAGGCCTTGCATCTGTGAACAATCTTGGCTCCATCTACTTGAACACAGAAAGGGAGTAGCCGTGAAGTCTCCCCGAGAAAGGTGTCATTCACCATCTGTTCTCGCTGCTTATCTAAAGGGGCTGACTCGCACTCGTGGCTGGGGTCAGCTCGCCACAGAAGTGAAACCGTATAAACCACAGTTGAGTTCCTGGTGCCTGCAGAGGCAGGAATGGCATCATGCCCAAAGCCAGTACATTTGGCCTCATTTGTTCCTTCTTGAAAGGGAACAAATTTCTGGAAAGTCTTCCAGAAACTCTTGCTATCCTCCCCAATTCCTCCAGAAAGTTGGTCCTGAATGGCTCCCACGTCTGGCTTCTCCCTAAGCATCCTCTCACAGCCCTGCTGCCAACCCCAGCCCTTCATCAACCTGGTCCCCTCCAGCCTCAAGTGGTCTGTCTCTTCGTGGAGCCATGCACATGGCCGGGTACATGGTAAACTCTAAGTGCTTTTTGACTTGGCTCAGATTTGACGCACACTTCAAAGGTGTGGGCCCTGATTTATGCCCAAGTGCTCTAGGCATTAGGTTGAGCTGAGCCAAAGGTACATTCAAATCTGCCTGTGTCATCTCATAATATTAGTAAAACCTCACATCTTTATATTCTTAAATGACAAGGCTTTTAAGGAGGAGAGCAGAGAGTGGAGTGGTCTGGGCTGTGTGACTCCTGGTTTAGTGCTCTCTCCTCTAAAAGGGTTTCTCACCTGTAGGAGTCCCACGAGGGTCACCATCCCTAAGGGGAGACCTGTATGCAGAGGATGGAGGATGGTGGAAGGCATGTGGGGCCTGGAAAGCTGTGGTGAGGCCTCAGGTCCATGCTTCAGACTAGAGCACATTGTTGGAAGCAATAGCAAGAGCTGCCCGTTGGGAGGGCATGCGGGGTGCGGGACAGGTTGCCAAGAAGCCAAACTTCAAGCACCTACAATGCTCCAGCAGCAGCAGAAGGCAAGGCAAGACCCCGAAGCCACCCTCCAGGATGCAGGGAGGCAGCTGGAGGGAGCCGGTGCCTGACCCCTGAGCCCCCAGGCTGGGAATGGGACAAGAGGAAGTGCCTTCCCAAGAGCACCGGCCACCTCTGTCCATTGTCCCACTGCCAAGGCATTTCTATGTCTGAGGTTGTTCTGCTTTTAGCAAAATGGGAAGTTTACCAGAGGAGTGGCTTCTGTGAAATCCATCAGGAGATCGCCTGGCTCCAAGGTAAAGGCACCTCCTCGGTCAGAGGGGCTCTGTGAAGGCAGATAAAAATATCCCAGGTTAGAGGCAGGTCCGATGAGACCGAACCCTACATGTTTACTGAAACCTTAATTGGATAGAAGGAGGGTGTAGGGTGGGGAACTGTGGTGTTTAAAGCTGCAAACAACTTTTACTAAGTGCTCCAAGTATCTCCTTGACAGCACCTTGGGAGGGAAAACATTAAAGAATATATCAAGGGAGAGCAAGACTCCATCCTGGACCCAGGAGCTAAATTCATCTGCACAACAATGAGGAAGATCTTTAGGGCGGGAGGGTGCCAGCTCTGAAAACAATCATTTTTTGGGAAAACAAGCCTTCCTCTTGCCCTGGGGGGTCACAGCAGGAGCCTTGAGGTCTGTTCTTCAGGGAGAGAAAACAAGCCCCATCAACTTGGTGCCAGCAGGAGGCGGCCAGGAGAGGGAGCCCTGAGGTCTGCGGCAGAATGCCACCCACACCTCACCAAACTCCCTTCTGTTTGCCTGTGTTCCAGTCTGGCTTACCCTGGTGTGGGATATGTGCTGCGAGCCTGTGTCCACACTTGGGACAAACAGTACGAGGGACTGCACCTTGGAGGGAGCTTGATTTGAGATGGCAAGAGCAGATCAGAGAAGAACAGGGAGCCTCTGTCTTGGTCAGTCACTGGCTAAGGGTCCAGCCAGGCTCCAGCTGAGGAACTGAGGTACTCATTCCAGGGGTCACCTGGGGAGGGAGCCAGGGGAAGACTGGCCTGGGGCATGAGAATTGTTCAGGGATTGGAGACCCCAGAGGCTGCAGAGGCCTCGGGCACCCAGTTCGCACAGCACCTCCCCTGGACCCCATGCTAGCCCATGAACCAAGCAGGTGGCAGATCTTATTGCCATTTTAGATGAAGGCTTGTAGAAACCAGGACTGCGGAGTGACTACAAGGGGAGTGAAAAGAGCAGCTGGCAACAGGTCCTGGGGACAGCACACACCACTCCTCTGTGGGGCCTGTAGTGGAGCCAGCTCTGACCCGGCCTCTCCTGGAGAGCAATGGTTCTGCTGTGTGTGGACAGTTGCTGAGGAGTGACCACAGCTGGGGGGGGAGGGGTGTCAAAACCAAGAAAAATGTCTTGGTTTAGGCTGTTGTCACAGCTCATCCCATCTCTGGCAATTTCTTGAAATTTCAAACCAACATATAAAATATTTCTGATTTTTAAACTTCATACAGATTATTCAATATAAGGAGTGGAATGGGGACACATTTCTGTTTTTACTTCTATTTTCCATTATGAGGGGAAAGACCTCGCTCTTGCTTTCTGTCTTGACAGTGGTGTAACATCTTCATAGGAATATTCTAAAATTAAATTGCCCTAGAAAAATCTCTTAATTTCCCTTAAGGCAGAGTATACATGGTTTTATATCCTACTCTTTGTTTCTCACAAAAGGTTAGCTTATCTTTCAGGGACAGATTATATCAAAAAGCATGCTTTGGAGGTTGTTACTGTTGTTTTAGGAGTCGATGATGATGATGATGATGCAAAATGTAAATGCGCATGAAGGTCAAGCACTAGTTCCCAGTGAGCCCCAGCGAGTGCAGTTCCCTCTTGGGGCTTTGGCCCATACCTTGACCCCTGGGGACAGCTGAACCTGGCCTTCAGAATTCTGAGGCGAGCTGATTTTGTGGACCTTGGGAGATGCCAGCGTTGCTGAGACCTGTGTGGTGGTGGCTGTGGTGGTGGAGGTGGCAGCGGTGGGTGTTCCTACTGCCTCAGCCAGGTCCGGAGGGAGGTCGTCTTCATCACTGCGGTTACTAAAAGCACATGAAGCTCTGCTCATTACAATAATAAACAGGTTGTGGGAAGTGGAGGAAGGGCAGGGAGGGGGGAACACCATGTGGAGGTTGGGAGCCTCCCAACAGATGTCCACCAGATGTCCAGCTCATAGGATCTGATAACCTGACATTTCTGCCAAAGCAAATTTGGGTTGGGCTTTCTGTCACTTGCCAAGAGATTAAATTTTTTTTTATTATGGAAAGGTATACATAATATTTATCAATTTATCCATTTATAAGTATGCAATTTAGTGGGATGAAATTCATGCATAATATTGTGTAACCATCACTGATATTTATACACACAACTTTCTATCATCCCCAAAAGGCACTCTATACCCACTGATCAACAGCTCCCTAGCCCCCCCTCCCTATAGTCCCTGGTAATATCTGTTCTGCATTCTATCTGGATGAATTTGACTCTTCTAAGTACCTCATATAAGTGGAATCATACAACATACATCTTTCTGTGTCTGGTTTATTTCACTTACCATAATATTGTCAAGGTCAATCCATGTTGTACTTAAGTCAACAATTCATTCCTTTTTATGGTTGACTAATATTCCATTGTATGGATAGACTATATTTTATTTATCCATTCATGAAACACTTGGGTTGTTTCTGCCTTCTGGTTATTATGAGTAGTGCTGCTATGAACATGGGTGTATAGATATCTGCTTGAGTCCCAGCTTTCAATTCTTTTGGACTGGAATTTCACCTGGGCATGAAATTGCTGAATTGTATGATAGTTCTATGTTTAAGTTTTTGAGGAACCACAAAACCAAGGGACATAATTTTGATGGGCCTCTCTTAGGAGGGTAAATGCCAGGTTTGTAGGAAACCACCACGCTAAGTGAAGGGTACAACAGCCCCTCTTGTGGCCTAACAGCGACTGTCCCTCATATAATAAACTGGTTATGGGGAGATGAACAATCTGCTGAGCCAAGTAGCTCTGGTCTTAGAATCTCTCTGAGGGGATAGGATGAATCACATAGACAAGGACACGAGACAAGAAGCCAGGGAGAACACGTAGGCCCTTGGACTATCCTTCCTGTTAACAGTGTCTGGGATTTTGGGCCAGTTTATGATATTTGAGTATTTTATACTAGCAGAGGGATATATGGTCAATACCTGTTTTGAATGCCTGGGGCTTGGGGTATCAGACTGACCCCTGGGTTGGCTGGAGACTGAGTAATTAAGGTCAGTCACATGGGCATTCCGTGCTTACAGGACTGACTCCCAGTACAAACCCAAGATACCAAGGTTCGGGTGAGCTTGCTTGGTTGGCAATATGTCAAGATGTCACGTGTGTTGTCGGGAGACCTCAGCACCACCCACGTGAGTCCTGCTAGGAGAGGATACTGGCAGCATGGGCTGGGTTTCTCCTGGACCCCACACTCTATGCCTTTTCCCTTTGTTGATTCCAATCTGTATCTTTTCAGCGTAATAAACTACAGCCACGCGTGTAACAGCTTTTCTGAATTCTGTGAGTTCTTCTAGCAAATCATCAAACTTGAGGGTTATCTTGGGGACTCACACACTTCCTCCTCCACACTTCTTCCCCTGGAGCTTCTGGAGCCACCCTGGCACAGGGATGGTGTTTCAGGATGAAGTCTGAGAAAACAATGTAGGTGAAACGCCCCCCCACCCCCTGCCCCGGTGGGTGTCAGTGTGCCTTGCACAGGGTCCCGCAAGAGGGCATCACTACATGTGGCTGTGGATGGTACTGATTGAGCAGGGCTGGGAGGTTGGGGGGGAGGGGGTAGATCATTCTGTGCATGGAATATACTTCAAAAGGAAGATTTAAGACTTTTACTTATAAAGAGGATAAGTGGGGTTTGAATAAGTAGAAAAAAAAAGACACCATGAGTTTGGTTCCCTGCTGAGAAGTCAGAACAGTTACACATGCATTAGCCCAACTGGTATTTTTTAAAGATTTATTTTATTTATTTATGTATACAAGAGCTGGGGTATAGGCCAGAGGTATGGGGGTGGGAGTAGGGTGAGAGGGTTCACCAGAGACAGAGTGGGAAGCAGAACAGGCGGATCTACTGAAATACACTGCTGAGGGGAGCAGTGGGTGAGACAGGAGAGGTCTGCTGCACCATGTGGGTCAGCTCCCTGGCTGGGGATCGAACTCGTGCTGCAGTAGCTGGGGATAGCTTCATAGTGCTGAGACATAACCCCCTGCACCATTGGGGAGGCCCAGCCTGTTTGATTTTTATAACAAACCTGTGACATGCTCTCCATCTTCAGAGTCAGATAATACTCAGGGGCAGACTGTACACTTACTCAAGGTCACATAGCTAGTTAAGTGGAAGTGAGATTAACTTTTCTTTCTACTTCACTAAAAAAATTGCAAATTTAAAGCATACTTGTTATTTCATTTTATATAAAAGGCCATTCTAAAAACACAGCTAAAGTTACAGAGCAAGAAGTCAACTGATTCTGTGTAAAGCTGAAAAAGATTCCAGTTTCACAATGGTTTAATGTTTTGTCTTAACAGATCTTGGGACAAAAAAATAGATATCTAAAGTTCAGCAAGTCTTATACTTTTACCTCTGCTTCTGGGGCAAATTCATGAAACAACATTTTAATGAGTAAAAATTTATGTGTAGTACAATATATTTCTTTGAAATGATTTCTTTCTATTTTAGTAATATGTCTGCATAGAGAAATGTCTGGTCATGGCCATTAAATGTGGACATTGGTTATTTTTGATGGCGTGGTTGCAAGAAACTGATCACATTTCTGTTTGGCCTTTTGTCTTGGCTTGAATCTTTTTAGATTTTTATGTTTAAATAACTAGGAAAGAGGAAATAAAAGAAGCAGTTTGTCATTTTCTAAACATATCACCTGGTACCAATATAAATGACACTTCATCTGTCTCAAACTCTTTGCAGAGTTCTGCTTCTCCCTTTATTCTTCATAGTAGTCACACTTTTCCTTCCTATGTCTTATTTCCAGGAAAGAACATGGCTGAGGTTTTTGTTTATCCTTAAAAGCAGCAATTTGAAAGCTTGTTCAGAGCTCTTGAATATCACGATGCTCTTGGAGAAGCATCTTAAAAACCTAAGCACACATAATTCTGGCTTAGGAACTAAAAATACTGAAACAGTCAAAATGGTAGTGTGTGCAAACATATGTCTGCATCTCAAGAATAACGATGTAGGGCCTCCCTGGTGGCGCAAGGGGTTAGGTGCCATACTATGAAGCAATCCACAACCTCTGCAGCACAAGTTTGATCCCTGACCGGCCAGGGAGCAACCCACATGGCACAGCAGACCTCTCCTGCTTCACCCGCTGCTCCCCTCAGCAGTGTATTTCAGTCAGTCTGCCTGTTCTGTTCCCCACTCTGTCTCTGGTGAATCCTCTCACCTCCTACACCTCTGGCCTGTATCCCAGCTCTTGTATGCATAAATAAATAAATCTTAAAAAAAAATAATGATGTAGAAATATTTTTTAGAAAATGGGAAAAATGAGTTTTTTCCAACTGTATTCTTTGTCTGTGTGTTTATTAACCTTATCAATATCTCTGAGAGGAGCACCTGTGTCAATGATTCAAGAATTACTGTGTCAATGATTCAAGAATTACTTACGGGGGCCTGACCTGTGTCAATGATTCAAGAATTACTTATGGGGGCCTCCCTGGTGGTGTAGGGGTTAAGTCTCAGCACTATCACCAAGACGGCCCACTCTGTGGGCCTCAGTTCGATCCTTGGCCAGGTTGCTAACCCACATGGTGCAGCAGACTTCTCCTGTCTCGCCCACTGCTCCCCTCAGCAGTGTATTTCAGTAGATCCACCTGTTCTCCTCCCTACTCTGTCTCTAGTGAATCCTCTCACCCCCGCACCTCTGGACTAGACCCCAGTTCTTCTATACATTAATAAAATAAATAAATAAATCTTAAAAAGAGCTATTTATGGGACAAAAACAAATCTAAGTAGATACCACCCATTAATCTTACTATTTACTGTAAATAGGGGACATGATGCCAGTCTTTGATTTTTCCAAACAGAATATTCTGGGGCAACTTAAATACACCTATGAAGTCAGAGGTTTAAAAAGCGTTTCCTTAAAAGAGCCAATTTAGTGAGTTAGTGAAATTTTCTTTCCTTCCAGGCCTTACATTCATTTAGTTTCCAACATAATTACATAGCCCAAATAGGTGATAATAACACTTTGAGGTTCAAAATGTAAAAGGAAAGGCTGACCTTGCCAGCTTAATCCTCAGGGGGCAGACTTTTCATGGTTTAATGTGTCCCCCTGAGGTCACTAGAACTGTTAATTATTTGAATCTTTTCACTATGGCTTTCCTAGAAAATACAACTGTCCATAAGTTTCTATTAAGACTAATGAGGAAGGATGTGTCTGCCCTACTTCTTTTCACAAGGTGCAAATGGCATCCTGAGATCACTGGCTGGTCATTCCACTTGGAGTTATGCTACCTCATCTAGACTTTGGACTCTGGCACCCCTTAAATTTGACCTTGTCTCAGAATCTCGACAAGAAAGGAAGGGGAATGAACTCATCCTACAGCCAGATCTTCTGCAATGGGTTTTTCACCTTATCTCATATTAGTCTTCACAAAATTTCTCACAAGCAATTATGTCACCATTTTACAGATGAGGAGAGAAAGGTTCAAAGAGTACTTTTCCCCAGAGCTTGCAGCTATAAATTAGGCAGGACCATCCCCAGAAGCATGTCTAGCCCAATGCTTTCCATGGCACCGGATGATCCCCACCAGCTCTCTGAGCAGATAGGCACTGGACATGGTGCTGAGGTCAAGAAATAGGAGCTGTCACTAGTAATAATGCACAGTGGCAGTATTTCTATTACGTACGCCATCACCACATTTATGCCAGCATTTACCTGTCTTTTCCAGAGAATAATTATTTGTATTGTCTTTTTTTTTTTTAAAAAATTAATTATGAATGTTCATCTGGGAGTTGTCAAAGTCAATTCTGCTCTTCCCCAATGGTGGCCAGAAAAGCCCTGTGCCTCTGGCCACCAAGTAACTTTTGTGAATTTGAACAGAGCTGGAAAAATCCTGGTAGGTCTGGGACACTCAGGGATATGGCACCTCCTGTGAGTCTCATGGCTCAGTGATTAGCTTTTGTTCTGCTGAAAGACCATTCTACCATCTTACTAATATGCCATGGAGGCTGCTCCTGACATGACTCCCCACTGTTCCCCCTCCTGGTACTCATGCCTCCTCATAGTCCCCTCCCTTTGCATGTGGGCTGGCACTAGTGACTTGCTTCTAATGAATGGAATATGACAAAGTGGTAGGATGTCCTTTCTGTGTGACTCAGCTATAAGAGACTGTGACTTTTGCCTTGCTAGAGGTCCCTCTTGCTCCTCCTTCAGCTTTCTTGAATGGAGAAAACTAGAGAGGCCCAAGTGACTAGGATCAGAGGGTGCCCCTCAGCCAACAGCCAGCAAGGATCTAAGGCCATCAGTCCTCCAGCCCCAGGGGAACTGCATCCTGCCCCAAGCCACACAAATACACCTACAATGAGCACACATCCCAAGCCAACACCTTAAATGTAGCCAGCAGGAAACTCTGACAAGGGCAACCCAGCTAAGCCCTGCCTGGGCTCTCAACCCACAGAAACTGTGAGCTAATAGAGCTGAACTTTAAACCACCAAAATTTGGAGTAATTGGCTCCCAGCAATCAATAGTGAATACCTCTGCCCACTATGGAATATTGTCAGGGAGAAAGGCCTAGTCCCATTATGACTTAAACTGAAAACTCCCCGTATTTGAGGGATGATTTTTTGGGAATGATGCATGGGGCTAAGATGCATTTACAATCAAACCTGTAACATCAATTTTGTTGTCATAATTAAAACACTTGCAGTACAGAACTCACAAACTGTATTGTCTTGTTAACTTCCTCACTCGGGGAGGCTTGATTTCTGGCTTTTCCACCACTGGCTGGGCAGTTTCCACACGTATAGGAATCGGACTTCTAGAGACACAGCCCAAAACAGAACAACACACAAGAAAAGGTTTATGGTCTTATTTTTTTGGCTGGCTACAGTGATTGTTTTCTCAGTTAATTTGTAGTTTAATAACATTAATAAATGCAGTTTTAAAAAATACCACAGAAAATTCAAAGTCATAAAACTAATCATAGAGAAGAAAATCTAGCAAGAAGGGAGCTGACGATAATTGGGGCAGCACATAGAATTTCCCCGCCAATCTCCCCCACCCCCAGTATCAGGGTTTGGTTCATAATCAGGCTTTGCTAGTAAAATTAGTGAGGAGACACCCATGGATAATACATTTCTAAATTCAAGTAATCTGGAATCTATGTTATTTGAAACAGAGCACAGGAAAACGTATATTTAAAGACAAAGAACAATAGAGCATTTAATATGGCTGATGCGTAATCAGAAGACCTTTAAGACTTGCTCCAATATATCTTAATTATATATATGTACATATATATGTATATATGTGAACATTAAGCTTCACAAAATGGTGATTTGAAAGAAAAGCTTCCATACATGTTGCAGTGGTCATTACTAATTTCATTTCAAAAATCATAGAGTATCTTCCTGCACCAAAAAGCATCAAAACAAGTTGAGGTTCTCCACAAGGGACCTGTGGCAAGTCAGTCAGCACTTGGAGGTCTCCATTTTTCCTTTCACTCAGTGCCTGACACGGTGAGGCATATGTGGCCAGAGCCTAATATGTTTGTTGAACAAACACATGAATGAACAAATAAGCGATCATGGCCCTTGCTTTCTAGGTACGTGATTTCCTCGAGCTGGGACCCCAGAGTCCACAGAACACAACTCCTGCAAGAGTCCACTGTCTCTGGGGAAGAACAAAATGTTCTGAGATAGATGGTTGCTTTCTGGGAAGCTTCTAGGAGGAGCCTACACTTAAGCAGAGGGAGGGAAGACTTCCGAGGTAGGAGACAAAGCAGAGAGCTGACAGAATGCAAGGGGCTGGAAGCACAGACAGGCGAGGACCCAGCAGAGGAGTGAAGGATTGGGACAAGAGGGGAGCAGAGGGGGCAGGTCACCAGGGCCTCAGGCTGAGGAGTGCACCTGAAGCAATGGCAGTCACTAGAGGTTTTAGGTGAAAGAGTGGTGTAGTCAGACTTGCATTTTACAAGGGTCCTCAGAAGAACAAAGAGGATGCTGGGCAAGAGCATCTTAGAAGACTAGCTAGTGGACCTCGCCGGTGGCACAGCGGTTGAGCGCTGGGTTGTGAAGCTGCCCGCAGCCTCTGCAGCACCGGTTCGATCCCTGGCCGTCGGGCGAGGGTCCTGTATGGCGCACAGACCTCTCCTGCCGCCCACTGCTCCCCTCAGCAGTGTACTTTGTCAGTCTGCCTGTTCTGCTCCCTGCTCTGGCTCTGGTGAATTCTCTCACCCTCCCATGCTTCTGACTGTACCCAGTGCTTGTATAAATAAATAAATAAATCTTAAAAAAAAAAAAAAGAAGACTAGCTAGTGGTAGTCCTCCAGGAAGAGAAGTAGGGAGGACTCGAGTAGGCTGGGATTACTGTGACGAGGAGGAGAGGATGGATGTGGAGATAATCTGAAAGTCAAACTGGCAGGACCTGGCAGTCAATTAGATGAGGGGTGAAATAGGAGAAAGTCAAGAATTTCTGGGGTCAGGCCTGGATAACAGGCAAATAATAGCCCATTACCCAAGACTGGTAAACAGATGAAGAGATTGTGGGTTAGGGTGGGAAAAGGTGAATTAAGATTTTGAAAGTCCAGGAGGCAGTTGGCTATGTATCTCTGGAGTAAGACAAATTGATACCAAGGACATGGATAGGGAATCATTAGGTGACACAGAGAAATGTTTTATTTTTGGTGTCAAGTATAAGAATTCCCCAGGGCAATGGTTCCTGGATCACCTGAGGTACTTGCTGATATTCTGGTCCTCGTATCCACTGCCCCGGCCCCCAAAGGATCCGAAAGATTTGAAATAGGACCCAAGAGTCTCCACTTTTAACAAGAGACTAGTGCAATTATCCTTGGGTACATTTTAGGAAAAGGTACTTTCAGAAGATCCAGCCAGTGTTAGTGGACCAGCCAGGTGGCATTAGGTGGCCATGGTCTATAGGTTGTTCCTCAGTTGGGCCCAGAGGAGAAGAGTTTCTATTCTCTGTGGGATCAGGAGAGGAAAGTTTTCCTCTGGGTTTGAGGTGGTGGTGGTCTGGGAGCTTTAAAAGACACAGGTGGTTCTAGTGCCATTAAGGGTTCAGGATGAGGGGCACCCAAATAGACCAAGGGAACAAATGAGTTGCTGAGCTGGGGCAGGGAACAGAGGCCAGGTGGAAGGGCCTCTCGTGTTCTGTGAAGGAGTCTCCCTCCATTCTGAGAGCAAAGCGGAGCCTTTGAAGGACTTCAAGCATGGGAATGACAAGCCAGGTCTATATACTTGAGAAGCAACTCAAAGTGATTTCTTTGTTAGTACAGCAGGTAAATAGTAAAACAGTACAAACAGCATCGTTGAGGCCTAAAGGAAGTTATTTAGGCCAGTCTTTTTCTAGCTCTTCAAGCTCCCATTCTCTCAGGTTTCTTTTCCCTCTGACTTGTTAACAAATGCCTCATGAGCAATGTTTCAAAGAGAATGTTGGTGATACAGAGAGTATTGTTTCCTCATTCAAGCAAGAAGCAACAGACCTTACATTAGTGTCCTGAAGACTGGATTTCTTATTGATATTTACAAACGTTGACTCCTCTTTTCCAACCTGTTGAAGAAAACAGGCAGGTTTGTCAAAACTGAATGTTTCGGCATACACAAATCTCACATCTCTGACATTCAAAGGGGTATAGAAATGTGAAGGGGGCTTATCAAAGAGGTAGTTCATCAGTGAATAACCAAGTCTCTCTGGTATTTATATAAATTAACAAAAAATATTTTCTTGAGTCATTCTCATCATGGGGATCAAGACTTCATCATTCAGACACAGTCAATTCTTGCATTCATTCTTTTACTGAGTACCCGCTACGTGCCAGCTCACACTTAAATGAGAAAGGGATGGTGTGGGAAAAGTCAAACCCCTACTTTAATCCTTCCTTCACATTTTAGATCAGGAATAATAATCGGCTCTATGCTCATATGGCATAGTTTACAAAGGAATTCTGAGTCTGTCCGTTCATCTCACTGTTACCAGGCTGGGAGGAATTACATAATAGGATTTTGAGAGAAGCCTTGTCCGCCTCCCTCATGAGTCTCACAAAGAATGGAGGGGGAGAAATGGACACCCACTCAGCCAGCCTGGAGGCCAACGGGAGAGACAGCAGCCTCAGTCCTCACACGCTCATCACAATGGACAGAGCTTGGCCTGATACACTCTGAGCTAAGCTTGCCAGGCTACTAGCTCAGAGGGCATTGCATTATTAGCCCACCGGGCCTATGTATGGATACAGCCCTGTTTCCTGATCAAGGCCTTTTTAAGAGGCAGCAACAGATAATACCGTTGTCCTGTCTGATTTCTGCTTCTTTCCTCTGCACCCTTCCTCTGCCCTGGTGCCAGCTGGGAATTAACACTTACACCCTGAGCAGTGTGATCTGATAACTGCCCCCATCCTCTATCACAATTGCTCACACTCTAAACAGGGCCTCTCCAAGCATGTCCCTGTGTTCCCATGAACAAGGCCTGCAGATGGCAGTGGAAGTCACTTTACAAAGAGGCCTGTGGCTGAGTAGGTGTGAAACAAAGGAATCTGGTTGCTTTCCTGCAGGACTTCTCAGAGCCTCTACAATGCTAAAGCACAGGTGACAGGGAGATCAGTGTGCAGCACTTCTACAATGACCCAGGAGCATCCTCCGGGGCTAGCGCTGTGATAACATCTAGGGGAACACCGCTCTGCAACCACTAATGTCACACTTGCCCACTTCTCCTTTCCTGCCTCTGCACATGTGCACTATGTCTGCTCGACCAGGACATTTTCTTGTATTCTTACCTATTTCTCATCTCTTCCCTACATTTTACAAAGTGAAATATTTCTCTCCTTACATTCCTTCAGTGGCCCAGAAACTCGGGGGTCCTCCCAAGCTGACACATGCAACATGGGGCCACAGGGACATGACAGAACTTTCTAAACGCAGGTGACAAGTGAAATACATGTTGGCTTTGTTTGTTCGTTGGTGGTATAATAAATAGCACACGTTACAACAATGAAGGCAGAATCAACAAAGAGATGGGTGGCAGGGGACTCTGATAACACTGAGTTTGTGGTAAGAGGGGAAGCTGCCCTCTGCAGTAAGCACTGCCATGGTTCAGTGGTGCCCATCATCTACCCACCCATGCCCCCAACACTGTCATCACATCACATCTGTGATCATGAGGTGATTATCACCACAGTGACAAAATGTGCTGTGTCAGGGGCTTTATAGAGACTGTACCACCTAATCTCCAAGGCCACCCATGGTGGTGGAAGTCATCCTCCTTCTACACATGAGGAAGTTATGCTCAGAGAGATTAAGAAGCTGAAGATGACGTAGCTGGTAAATGGAGATCACGATTAAAACCCAGACAATCTGACTTCGAAGCTTGCCTTCTCTACCTCACTGCTTGATGTTTATATCACGACGCCAAAATGGGAGAAATGTAACCTTTCTCTCACCAGTGTATTTTGAAAGGGTCTAAATTATTCAGATTGCACCATTCATAAACAGAAACAATAATATAACAGATTACGGAGTATTTACTTTATTCTTGGCAACCTAGGCATAGCTATTAGGTTCAAAAAGAATGAAGAAGATAGTTAAATGCTTTTCTAATGAAATCATGGACAAACTGCAGCTTTTTATATGATGTTTCCAAGGGAGAGATGGCAAATGGTTTTCAACTTGAGTGCCAACTTTGATCCACTGGTGGTGTCTCCTGGAAAAACTATGCAGCAAAAGATTCTGAGGCTGCATTGAGAGTGAAAGCGTATCACAATCAACCAGTGGTATCTGTTATGAAAGCAAGTGGGAATTTATGGAAATTATTAAAGCATCATCTCTCATCTCTAAACCCTTCTCATTTCTGCTTTGCCAGCTGGCTCCTTGACAAGATCTGTCCATAGGGGAGGCTAGTGGGGAGGGACTCGCTCTTTCTCGTCTGCTTCCTGCTCCTGTGAGTCACCCAGCCTGGCTTCTTTAGCCCCCAGCAGCAGCTGTTCCTCCTGGAGCAGCCCTTGAATCCAGCTTGCAGTTTCCACCACTTGCCCATCCAGCTCCTCCGACATCCGGGCACCCATCGCTGGTTAGAGACTAGGTTGACACCCTGTGGGATCTGTTCTCCAAGTTCAGAGACACAAGCACAGGTCACAGTGGCCCCTCGTCAGAAGTCGGTGTCTCTGTGGACTTCTCCCCCAAGCTTGCACATTTAATTTTTATAGCATCTTTGTTCCCTCAGATGTAGGGGTCAGAAGTGCTTCCTATAGCCACCAACTCTAGGGTGTCAGAGAACTGCCACTCAAATTGGCCCTATCAGCTCCTCAGAAATGCAAATACATGAAAAAAAAAAAAAAGAAAGAAATGCAAATACATGAGCCCCCAAGGCTCTGCTGAATCTCAGGGAGGGGACTGTACAGTGAACTCTCAAGAACCATTGTCTTAGAGTTCTCTTTCTGTTCTTTTGGTTATTTCATTACTGACAACATACCAGTTGGTAATTCTTAATGTTGAGGTCTCCGCTCACACAACAGGTGTGGCTCCTGTCTCCTGGCAGGACCCTGACTGGCAACATCTTGGGGCTGGAGTGCCTCTCCTCTGAGGCAGGGAGGGACTCATGAGCTGAACCCCCAGGAATGTGCCACTCCACCCACCTGGGCACTCACACGGGAAGCATTCTCCAACTGGGCTTTCAAAATGTTGCACTTCACATGATCAGCCACTGGGGACGGCAAGAGTGGGGTCTGAAGAGTCTTCTCAGAAACTTTCTTCTCTTCAGCCTATAAGGAACCAAAGTACATGCAAGAGATCGCAAGCAAAGACAAGAGGAAACACCTACCTTGACCTTTCCCAACAATCACAACTGCAATCCTACCCCCCTCCCCACACACACTATATAGACAATTGTGTCATCAAATTCTTATATGACTGGCAGGACGTTTCCTATTTGCAAAGGACTCACAAGTATCCTCTCATTCTCTTGGAAAGCAAGGCGCAGACGTATGAGGAAGCCCCCTGGACCAGAAGGCAGGGTGAAGAGGCTCTTCCCAAGTCTTGCAACCAGAGCCGGAGCTGGGGGCAGAGCCAGGCCTCCAGGCCCCAGGTCTACACCCCTTGCAATGCTGCGCCCTCACAATGTCACCTCTTACATACAAGGATTCAGGGGCTTGCTGAGTCGAGGAAAAGAGTGTGAAACCATCATTAATCTTGCTGAACGCGGTGGCTCTCAAGGAACAACTTGTTTCTATGTGACCTCATTACAAAGCATCTCAGACTTTAGGAATTTTGTGCATCCATCACTCTTTTTTTTTGCCATTTCCCATGTATTAAGTGAACACCTACCTATAATTCATATAATCCAGTTAAGGTGGATTACCTTGTGACTCACTGTTTTAAGCATGTCCTAAGTAATCATATCTTTGAAGTCATGGGCTTGGCGACTATTAAATTTATTCTAATACACAGTCTGATAATTATATAACTTTTAAAAAAATACCCATCCTACTCATCCATGGATAAAACCTAAAATCATCTCTGATGGTATACACCACACTCTGTGAAATTATGTCTCCTTGTTAACCAGGCCCATTGTGGTCCTTGGCCATTCCAGTGCTAATATGGTGCTTGGCACAAAACAGATGCTCAATAAATACGTCCTTAAGAAAATGATAGTGATCTATAGTTATTATTGCAAGATACAAGTATTTAACAAGAAAGATATAAGACCCTGTGATTGCTGAAAGTTCACTTAGTGATATCAGGACGTAGGGTGTCATGTCAGTCACAAAGCACCCGGGCAAGAATAAACTGTCCTAAAGGCTTCCAATTCTGCAAGTCCCAAAGTTAATCTCATTCCCTAATTAAAAAATTCTGTGGAGCATCTTGGTGCACATAGCAGGAGTTTTATGAAAGCCCTGGAGGAAGCACAGGGCAATTGGCTGGTTAACATCACTTAACAAAGAAAAGAGGGATTAGAATAGTTTCCCAGTGGGACCTCCAAACACACAGCAGAGCGTTTGGTAGAACACGCAGAACTCAGCAATTTCATGTCACAGCAAGAAAAGCAGGGACCAAGACCTGGATTTAAATCTGAGCTCTTTCCCTTGCCAGCACCATTTAAAAAGCCTTAATAAGCATGATGACAATGATGCTGGCGATGATGAAAAGGAAAATATTTACTGAAAATTTACTATGGGCCAGTGGCTGGCTAAGCATTCAGACACCCATCTCATTGAGTCATCTACTTTAACCTTCCCATAGGAGATAGGTACTGTCATTCTCCCCATTTTACAGATGAGAACAAAGCAGAGAGACGGTAAGTCACTTGCCCAGGGTCACACAGGAAGATCCAAGATTCACACCCAGGATGAGGGGAAACAAAAGCTAGAGTCCTTGATCACTTAGCTTTACTGCCTCCTTTCATCGCTCTGAGTCTGTTTCATTCTTTATAAGATTATTATAATGATCAAGTGAGAAAATAAGATATGAATCATATTAGGTTCTTTGGTTAGAAAGGAAAATATAACTAAAAAAGAACATCAGATCTGAGGACACTAATGATCCAAAGCCATCAAGCTGGATATAAAGAAAACTGACTCATTTAAGTGGAATCATTATTCTAAGATTTAGCATAAGCCAAAAAGCAAATGGCAATCTGTTTATTTTGAGAGGTTTCCAGTGTAAATTTAGGATAAATTATGTGTTTGTAGTGGGTATTTTCACTGGTGTGTGAAGAGTTAATTTTTAAATTATATTTCTTTTTTTTTTTTTTTTTTTTTGGAATGCTACACTGGGATATACAGGAATTAAATTGGTTTGAAAGCCCATTTGAGGTCTTTGACAATAGCTTAAGGGGATATAGTTAAACTGACAGTAATGACCGAAGAACTACTTTAAAAACCTGAACGCCACTATATAAGAAAGAATAAGAATTCAGCATTGATTTTCCCTTTGAATTTAGTAATTCCAAACTGCTTTTTGGATAACAGTCAAGCTTTCCTGTTGAATGTGGACAAGGGAAGAGCTAATGTTCATCTCTATGAATTGACTCAAGTGAAGTCCAATACAAATTTTGGAAAATTTGAGTAGTATTATGTGAATATGTTTGCATAAAAGGAATCTTTTATGGGAGATAGGTATCTAGATTACAACCAGACCCCAATTCTAGCCCAAAAGGTGGCTCCAAGAATTCTGTGCTTTCTCTCTTTTGCATGACCATATTTGTTTTTTATGTTCCATTTGAATTGTGCAAAGATGCTTTATCATTCAATATGGAAATACAGATTTCAAAAGATACAAATGAACGACAACTGGGCTTTAATATTATTATGGTTGGAAATAGTCCATCTGTTTGGGGATGTCATTTGAGGATAAAGAAATGATCAGATGCATTTGTAAATTGTTTATACATTGTTTACACATTTGAAATCTAATGAGATTTAAATCCCTGTGATAATTTTGGGTACAGCTTTGGAAACAGGCAATGAAAATTTATTTTCACCACTAAAACAAGAAAAGGAACTTATCTACCCTTAGAAGAATCAGAGGCTTCTCAGTGCTTGAGGACAGAAAAACCTTAAGGCTCATCGGTTCCCAATTGTGGTATCAGGTAAGTGTGAGGACAGCTGCAAGGAATCTTTTATTAATACTAAAGATCCCTAATGTGAAGCAATATGCTTTGCTCAGATGTTAGGACAACATCAAGGTTACCTGACATCACTCTAGCCTACTTACATACTGATGCATTTCTTTAAGTGGAAAGAAAGGAGGGGCAGGATAGCTGGAGCTTCAGGGAAAAACTCCATAACACACAACTGTTTTACCTGTGCCTTAACCTTGAACCAACTTCTATCGCTGATGCTCCATCAATATTCATGGCAAGTATGAATTACATGGTTTGTGAGTTCCCTGCTGTTAAATGCTGCTTCCTTGAAATAGATTTCAGAATGTTATCAAACACCAGGTAAGCCCCGTTAGAAGCATATCCTGTGTATCATGCAGAAGAAAAGCTGAAAAGCAAGAGACTAAGAGGAAAAAGACCTATCCAGGGGGCCATGTGATGTATGGGTTGACTCCCCAGAACCTAGTGCAGACCCGCTCAATGAAGAATTGTTGATTGAGGGCCTCCCCTGGTGGCACAGCGGTTGAGCGCTGGGCTGCGAAGCTGCACGCAGTCTCTGCAGCGCCGGTTCGATCCCCAGCCCCCAGCGAGGGTCCCACATGGCACGCAGACCTCTCCTGCTGCACCTGCTGCTCCCCTCAGCAGTGTGCTTCGGTCCTTCTGCCTGTTCTGCTCCCCGCTCTGGCTCTGGTGAATTCTCTCACCCTCCCGCGCTTCTGACTGTACCCAGTGCTTGTATGAATAAATAAATAAATAAATAAATAAATAAATAAATAAATAAACAAATAAATAAATCTTAAAAAAAAAAGAATTGTTGACTGAATGAATGTAAGTGCCATTCTGCAGGAGGGTGGCATAGTAGAAAGGTGGGAGGTAAGGCATGGAAGGTGGGCTCCTTATTGATCAAAGAGACTTTAGGCTGCACTGCTGAGGGATTGGTAGGTGTGTGGGAGTTAGCGCAAAGCAGGATGGTCTTCTGAGAAGTCCTGGAACTGTGGGGTAGACTAGAGAACTGTGGGAGGAGGGAGAAAGCACAGCCCAGAAAAGATGTGTAACCTTGCCAGGCTCACTAGCACAGGTAAGTGGGGGGGACTTTGTAGGATAGGTCTTCCCATTTCTTCCTATTGCATCATAAAGGAGCAAAGTCAAGCATTAAAGTGAAAGAAATGACCCAAGAGTAAAGAAGACTATTCTGTTCCTTTGAGGATTTAAAATATTAAATTATGTGTGCAGCAGTTCTCAACTGGGAACTTCTGCCCTTCGGGGACAATTGCCACTACCTGGAAACAATTTTGGTTGTTGCACATGGATAAGGGTTGCTGTTGTCATCTAGTGGCTAGAAGCCAGGGGTGCTGCAAAACACCCCTACGGTGCACAGGACAACCCCTCCATCCCCCAAATACACACACAGAATCATCAGCCTAAAATGTCACTAGTGCCAAAGCTGAGAAACCCTGGGGCAGAGAGTGAAGAAGCAAAGGGCACTGGCCTGGATGTCAGGGCCTGGGATCCAGTCCCTGCTGTGTGACTTTGTGAAAATCATTTCCTTTCCTCTGGTCGCAGATGTTTAGAAGGTTAAACTGAATGACAGATTGAACCCAACATCAGAACTCTACAGTTCTCAGATAAAATCTGGCTTTTAAAAGCTCCCCAGTAAAACAGGTCGAGCCTAAAGAGAGCTTGGCTTCTGCCCTGTCCACCCCCCTCCATCCTTAATCCTTTTTTTCCATCCATCAGTAAACAGTTACTGTGCAGACACTGTGAGTGACAGATAGAGGGTGCATGGACCCCACTGTGTGCTCCCTAAATTCATACGCTGGAGCTGTAACCTCCAGTGTGATGGGCACCTTGAAGAATGATCAGATTTCGATGAGGTCCTGAGGTGGGGCCCTCAGGCTGGAATTAGTGCTTTATAAGCAGCAGCAGCAAGACTGACGCTCTCTCCTAGCAAGCGAGGACACCGAGGTGACTGCTTATCAGGAAGGGGGCCCTCATCATGGGGACCAAATAGGCCAGTACCTTAATCTTTGACCCCCAAGCCTCCAGACAGTGCAGAACACTTGTGGATTAAGCCTCGTTACAGCAAGCTGAGTAGACTAAGCCCGCGGGGTGACCATGGAAAGAGGTGAGTGTGATACTTTCCTTGTACAACCTTCAGTCTAGAAGGAGGGAGAGACCACTTGCTGTTAGATCTGGCCTATCAGCCCCAGAGCCAGGAGCAATGTCTAAGCTGTCATTTACCCAAAGAGAGCATAAGTGAATTTCCGCTCCTAAGAGACACGCTGAACAGAAATGTCAGGAAGGATTGAGCAGAATCCCTCCAAAACACAGGCGCATGGCAGAGGAACAGGCCAGGGCAATAATCAGGGCTGGATGTGAGCCCCGGCGCATGTTCATCAGTCAGACCTCCCACCTTATTTATGTTGATGTGCAGAGCGGGCCAGGGCCCAGCAGCCTTCACGGTTTCCAGTTCCAGCTTCTTGAGATGGGCAGCAGCTTCGCTGAACAGGGCAGGTGGTCCTGGACTCAGTTCTACAAGCGGCCAGGGGATGGGTAAGGAAAGGTTGAAGGAGAGACATGGGTGATAAAAGATACTTGCAGAGCTGGCCTCCAGCACCCTTCCTGCCTGCCTCTTGCTCTGGCAGTTTGAATCCCTTGATATGCACCCGATAAAAAGGCATGATTACATCTAAAGTCAAGGTTTCAAGCCCTAACTCTCCCCCATGTGCAGGGGTTCCCTAAGGTGGGGAAAAGCATTCCAGACAAAAGGAACAGCAGTGCGAAGAACAGAGCTGGGACACAGCACTGTGTGGTGAGAGAATAGCAGCCCTGGGTGGGTAGAGAGCAGTGGGAAGCAAGGGGAAGGCTGAGACCTGGGCAGAGGCCAGCTGGGGAGGTCAGTGTGTGGCCTGGAGGCCCACTGAGCTGCATCCCAGGACAGAGATGAACCCCTGAAGGGTGTTCACACATCCGGGTGAACATATCTGGGGAGAGCCCCACTTTGGCAGCTACAATATGGAGATGGTGCTGCAGGAGGGGCCCTGCAGGGGCTGTTATGGCTACCAGGTACATAAAGATGAGTGGCCTGGGTCAAATGCAGGTCAATGGTGAGGAGGGGAGACAGTTCTGATTCTCAACATCAGGGGATGATGAAATCCCATTTCTGGCTCCATCAACTCAAAATTTTTCCCCATGATCTATAGGTGAAGTTTCCATGGCTCATCCTTTTCACCAGCTCACAGACTCATGAAACGTCAGAGCTGGAAGATTCTAGAGCCAGCACCTAGGCTCCCCCGACATACCACCCCATTTCACTGAAAATCAAGGATCCAAAAGGGGCTTGGTTCAACGGTGACCCCTAGAAAGGAAGTCTCTTGACCCTTGCCTACCTCAAGGTGTTTTCAAACTACGTGATAAAGAACCAGTTCCTTAGCCCCAGTCTGCCACAGATCAATTCTTTGGTGAAATATAAGTGAATTTCTGGGAAAATCAAATAGCAGACATGCGAACTCCAAGCCCACATTTTAAATTAATTTTAACAGATATAGAATCACTCTGTCATATTGCTGAACATGTTTCCAATTGCTCGCTCGCCATTTCCACACCTTCTCTCGCTAGGACCTGGAACAGGGCACTGGATCTAGCTGGCATCACCTCAGTTTCAGAAGAGGGGTGTCAGAAAAGGGACAGAGTGGGTTTTCCTGTAATCCCATTCTCAACCCCCCTCTTCTCTCTTCCCCATCGCTGGAGTATCTGCTGGGTACTGTGGAAGCAGGGAGTTGCTAAGAAATGAGGCGGAGAGAGAATTGCTGCCTTGGAATGAAATCAGAGTTCACTGCTAAACCATAATCACTAAATTGCTCCGTCCTCAATGCACACAGTTCTTGTCTGTTCTTGCCTGACCTTTACCCAGCGCTGACACGGCTGTGCCTCCACGCTGCCCTGCAGGGGTCTGGCTTGAGGATCCAAGGAAGCCTCCCAAGCCCTGCAACATCACTCTCCCTCCCCACCTCTCCCACCCCTGGCCCCTCCACCCCTACTCACTTGGAAGGGATTTACTGATAGAGTTTGGGGACCTCGAAGGGCCCTCCTTGTTCTCCAGGGTCAGCGAGAGGCCATAGTTTGGGTGGTGCTGGTGCTGATGGTGGTGGTGGTGGTGCCTTCCTGGAACTTTGGTGGTGAATGGCGTGCCCCCGTTCTCCTCGATGCCAAAAGGCAGCCGGTCCAAGCTGCTGAGCCCTGGGGAAGGGAGCGGGTAGCTGTGGAGGGTGTCAAAGTCAGGATTTAGAAGAGCAAGTGCCTTGATATTCCTGTGTGCACTTTAAAAGGTGCTTGCTAAGCACTAAAAACAGACCCACAGAGTTACTGCAGATAGGACACAGGGCGGCGGGGGCTCAGAGAAAGAGCTGACATTTGTGGGTGTCCTGTTCTTTTTCAAACTGAAAAAAAGTCTTAACTTTGTAACCAAATCATTTAACAAAATAATTAGTCAAAAAAAAGTTGTTCTCTAAATGGGAGAAGACAATCAAAATCAATTATAAAAAAGAATTTAACCAACTCATGACAAGACACTGACCCAAATAGGAAGTCTTGGGGTTACTTTCTCATCCTCTCCATCACTCCGCCATACAGACAGGACCAGTTAGTAACTGCTGTATCTTTAGATTCTTTTTTTTAATAAATTTTTTAATTTAAATTTTATTTTTATATTCCCCATACAATTACAACCCCCTTATTTTGACCCCAATCTCTCCTATATCTTTAGGTTCTAATTGCTCCTCTCTCCCCCTTTACCAATATCGACCTATTGGAAGGCCAAGTCTTCTCCCACTTGAACTCCTGAAACAGACTCGAAAGACTTCTCCCTGTCTTACTGTCTCCTTCAGCCCATTTTTCACGGAGCAGGAGCCAGAGTGTTGTTCTATCACATTCTAGAGCACAGCACTCCATCCTCAAGGCACTCTATTGCTACTGGTTCTTACCCATTTTAAGATAGAGACGCCTTTGGAAATCTCAAGGAAATCTATGGAACTTCCCTGCAGAGAAAAGGTACCAAAATGCTACATTTCATACTCAATTTCAGTCCTTCTACCCTCCCTCCCACCCCTATATGCCAAGAGGAGTTTGGGGTTAGGGAACAAAATCCAAATTCCTTTATGTGTCACTCATGGTTCCCATGATATTTTTCCATTCTCCTTTCAGCTCATCTCCTGCTACTTCCTTCTCTCTACCCTAACTTCTTTACATTTTGGTGCCTATCACCTCTTTCTGCTTTTCCTCATCCCTCAACCTACTTAAGATACCCCTTCCTCCAGGAAGATTTCCAGGCTTTAGCACCCAGATCACACCCTCGGTGCAGATCTACGCTCTCTTTATACTCATTCCTATGGACCAATTCTACTGCCTATTCCTCCACTCTGCCTTCAAGGAGCTCAGACCCCAGTGTGGGAATCTGTGATATAACTAGTCACAATGATACTGGAGCAAGGACTAAGGAAGCATGGCAGTGCAAGCAAATAGTTCTCTGGGGAAGGGAAAGGTATTGGGAGGGAATATTTGGGGGAGATAATCATGCTTTGGAAGACATACTTGACATAAACTCTTTCTTACAGGAAACCCCATTCCTTGTGTATGAGGTTGGTATTGGCCCCCAGGGGGAGGTCTGAGAAGCAAGTCTGGCCAGAGCTCTCCAGCCTTCTAGGTAAAGGGATTTGTTCTGGGTTAGAATCCAATCAGGGACAATCAGAGTTATCCCTAAGGGTTAATGCATGGAAACTATGAGAAAAGATTTCTTTCTTTTTTTTTTTGAGCATCAACCAGGGCCTTCTTGTGACTTTTATAGGACCTAGGCACATTTGCCTTTACCTCTTCAGTATAAAAAACATTAAAAATTCTATTTTATGACTGTATTTGTATGAAACTGAATATATTAGTAACATAATTTTTTTCAATTGAAAGTTTTTAAAAGAAAAATGTTGTTTCTTTTGATATTAAAGGAAATGAAAACATTTTTGTGATCCCCTAAAAGTATTATGGGCCCAACGAACTGGGCTGGATTTACCTAATGATTAACCTGGCTATAGCGACAGGGATGTTGCTAGTTGAGACCACTGTGATCATCTCCCCTGGAAAGCAAGAGCAACTATCTGTGAGAATGAGAAGATGAGCAGCGGCAAAAGGCAGATGGATAAGAAACAACACACTATGGTGTTGTTTGAGCTCCTGGTTCCAGCTATGCCTGAAGCTGGACCTATCACTGAGGTTTTTAATAAGGTCCAGTAAATTCTGACTTATTTATTCCTTTATTTTTCCTTGATATAGTTGGGTTTCCTCCTTTATAACCTGCATGTTTTAAATTAGTTAAGGTATGTTATTTTGTAATTGTTTTTTGTTTTGTGGGATTTCTTTCAAGTGAAAAGATAGCAATAGCTGTTCCATTAGGCTTGAAGAATAGTGTGAGCAAAGGAGTGACAGTTTTAAGAGCCGGATGTCTGGAGGAGAGAGAGTGAGGAGTGAAGTAGCAGTAAGTAGCAAGACATGAGACAAAGACCACAAGCTGTTAGTGATTATAAAGGGTTAAGCCTGCCAGTTATCTTGAGGGCAGCAAGGCGCCATGGGAAGGGTTTAAGCAAGGGTGTAACACGATTGGAATTTCAATTTACAAAGTTCTTGTTGAGTGTTGTGTAGAGGACAGACTAATGGGGGAGAGACTGGAGTGTGCCTCTTAGGCGACTGGGACAGGGAGTGGTCGGAACAGCTCAGGGGCTCAGGAATGAGAGCGGCCCAGGGATATTCCTCAAGTAGCTTGGGCAGGGCTTGCAGGCCTGGTGCTTGGGGTTCCAGAGAAAGGAGGAGCGGCGGCAGCTTCTGCTGCAGATGCCGTATACACTCCAGAAGAAACAGCACTGACCCAGAGGCGCGGTCTCTGGTCCATCCTGACTACTACTTCCAGGAGACTTATTTCAGGAGTGTGTGTGTGTGTGTGTGTGTGTGTGTGTGTGTGTAAAACATACGGAAAAATGTGAGATTTGGGCTTCTGGGGGTCACAGACCAGGCTCCCCTCTCCAACCTGAAACATAACCAAGGGGATCCATCTCCCCATGGAGGCAGTAATGGGGACAGCAAGAAGTGGAGAGTTGTAGTTGAAACACCTGGTTTCCAGTTGTGCCCCCAATTTTGTGGTGGAAACTTGGACGCTCTGTGCCTCAATATTCTCATCGTTAGTATGAAGGGGGCATCAGGCAATTTCTGAGGGCATTTCTAGGTCTGAGATTCATCCAGTTCCCCAACTAGTTACCAAGACTAGCTTTGTCTCAGGCACTGCCAGCTATTTTACACAAAATATCCCATTTTATAGTTGTGGACACATATACGAGGAAAGAGAAAAGGGAAGAGGGAGAGAGGGAAGGAAGGAGGGCGGGAAAGATGAATGAAATTGTGGCACTCTGGTAGCCTCCAAAGCCTGTCAGTGTTGTTCACCTCTCTCAGAGATACTGAAAATGGGATCTGTTCTCAGGAGGTGCAGAAATTGAGAGCTCAGAACAGAGCGAGTTCCCTCTAGCCGGAAAGCCTGGAGGAGCTTCACAACTTAAGGCTGCCATACACACTGCCGCAGCCAAGGAAAGTTCTCGAAGGGCACTGCACCTGTCCAGGCAGCAGCCATGAGTCAGAGAAGCACTGAAAGGAAGAGAGCGATAGGAAGGGGCACTAAACAGGACTGGAGAAGGGGAGGAGAGGGATCAAAAAACTGGTTTCTGGTGTTTTTATTTTTTCAGCCTGGAGGACCAGGTAAATGGTCTGTCATAAAAGGGGTCTCCCATAAAAGGGGCAGAAGGGATTAAGATGCAGCCCTATGAAGCTGTCCACAGCCACTGCAGCATGAGTTTAATTCCCGGCCAGGGAGCTACCCACATGGTGCAGCAGACCTCTCCTGTCTCACCCACTCTCCCCTCAGCAGTGTATTTCAGTCTGCCTGTTCTGTTCCCCACTCTGTCTCTGGTGAATCCTCTCACCCCCCTATCTCTGGCCTGCACCCCAGCTTCTGTTGCATAAATACATAAATCTTAAAAAAAAGAGGGGGGAAGGTGAGAGCTGCTTGGAGTAGGACAAATTATAACTGAGCTTTATTTTTTTTACTTTTTTAAAAGATTTATTTATTTATTTGTTTGTTTGTTTGTTTATTTATATATACATACATACAAGCACTGGGTACAGTCAGAAGCGCGGGAGGGTGAGAGAATTCACCAGAGTCAGAGCGGGGAGCAGAGCAGGCAGAAGGACTGAAGTACACTGCTGAGGGGAGCAGCGGGCGGCAGGAGAGGTCTGCGCGCCATGTGGGACCCTCCTCTGGTGGCCGGGGAGCAGATGGGGATCGAACCGGTGCTGCAGAGGCTGTGGGCAGCTTCCCAACCCAGCGCTCAACCGCTGCGCCACCGGGGAGGCCCTATAACTGAGCTTTAAATGGATTACACTGAATGTGGGAATGAACATTCAAGGGGGAAAATGTCTCTGTAGCAGAAACCTGGTGGACATTCAGGCTGCAGGTGGAAAGATTTGAGTAAGAATTTCTAAGGGCTGGAAAATGGACAACACCTCCGTTGCCAGTTTCAACGGATTCTCACTCTTTGCTTGGAAGGCAAGCTTGAGACAGATTCTGAGGTTGTGCCCAGCTCAGAAGGAAAGTGCTGTGATTGATTAGTGATGTCTGCTCCAGACTTGGAAGGGAGCAGCGGTATCTTGTATTTGTGAAGTATGGTTTCTTATTTCAAGGAAACCTAGACTGAAGAGTTAAACAAGAATATATATATATATATATATATATGCAGGAAGTGATAAATTGCATTTACTAACATGTCAAGTGAAATATGCAGGTGTGATTTTTACATTATAGCTACTCAAGGGGAAAACTGAGAAAGAGATAAATGGGAAGAAAAGAAATACCTGCCTGCATCGTGTTAGGGAAAGGGGCTCTAGAAGAGCAAATGTTGCTGAGCAGAAGTGGAGTGACCTGGTTGCTTAATGGGCTCATAGCCTCAGCTGACCATCCTGGAGAATCTAACCCACAGAGTTTTGTGGGGTTGTAGGTCTATTAGGGCCAACATTGCTCAAGGCCGCATGTGCGGCTCCCTGCAGAACTCCTGGAGGCACCGTTTACTTTAAGTAGGGCATAGACGACACCCACTAGGGCTGTGGATCCACCCATTTACAGAGAACAGAGCAGAGAAGGTCAAGGCCACTCAACTACCGGCAGTGGCCACCA